AGAAAAACCCCCATACAGGTCTATATTCATGCGGACAATAGCCACAGATTCATGAATAGATGATTTAAATCATCAACCGCGTTATTAATTAAGAGTTTTAAAATGATGGGAGGGCTGACGCATGCAGTTCACAACGCGTATAACAAACACAGCTAAACACTCAAGATATGACAGGTGATCAAGCTTGCATAGACTTTCCATCCACCCATGCACCCACATGGATGGAAACACTGTTTCAGAGACACTAAATTCATAAGTTTGTACGAATTTTGGTTTTTCTATTCTACTATAAATATCAGGCATCTCTTCGTCACAGTTTCCGCGTTTCTGTGAAGTCTCTTAAAATGTTTTTTATTTCCTAACAGTAAGATTACGGTTAATATGCATATAATTGTTTTTAATTGCATGTTTCTTGGCACACTCGACATCAAATTGCACAGCAAGTACGTTGATCACTGAAGCTAGAAACCCGTTACGTTGAAAATATTGGGGCGGGTTTTTCGAGGCATAACTATTAAGTCACCCTTTCCAGGGAAGGGCCTTTAGTTTAGCACTTAATAAGCCGTTAGAGAGTTTAATGTTTATTCACACGAAGTTAAAGTTGTGACAAATTTCAGGGCTTTAGTTTCTTTACGACAAAAATATAATTTAGTTGCAACATTAATATAAACAAACAGGATTAAAAATTGATCAGTATTGACTATTGTTACACCTGTGTATCCTATTACAATTTACATAGTGGATTTTTAGGCTGTGAACGCATAAACCGGCTGTCGTATTTCTGTCAGCAACGATGATTAAATCAAGTAATATGCAGCCCCCTTGGTACAGAGTAAGGGCCCGCACACACAAACTGAGTTTAAAGCCTAGGCCTTCCTTCGTGCTCTCGCTAATTTACATAATTTAGCTACGTGTTTTCAAATTTTGTTTGTCATGTGAATAATTTGACTCCGTTAAACTTGACTGCACATAACCTAATTCAAATGTTGTATGCTTGAATAGCTTATCAGGTAGTCGTTAGTTGAGCGTTGTGGAAGATAGACGTGCAACCCTGAACACAGTAGGGCACTTCATAAAGGTTTTTACACCAAATCTTGAAAACTTGAAAGCGGGTAAGTGGTAAATGAATATATTTTATTTCTTTTAAACAGCAATAAATAAATTTCCTATACAGTTCATCGGCTCGCCCATGAGCCGCGAGCATGGCTAAAATGCAACTATGTTCAATGCTAGTCAGTCCGAAGAAGGAACGCCCTGGGATATGAAAGTTTTTAAAAGTATTCAGTTTCATTTATCTCTCATGACGCATGCAAAGTTAAAACAGTTGAACCATTTAAACGGTCAAGCATGTATTTATTTAACTATAGTGGATCCTTTACGCCTGACTACGACTACATTTAATAAATATTGAGTGCGTATTTTATTCATTTGAGTAGAAAATAGTAATGATGGTTTAAGATTACCATGTTTGATAAAATTGAACTTAACTGCTGAGCAAGTCTGAGGGCTGTGCACATGATCCGCATTTATAGCCAAGATTTAACGAAGCGTAAAATGATTTTGAGGTATTGAAATGAGTTAATAACATGATCCTGGTAGTGCTTGGTAGATGCATGTGCTTGTTTTGTTTCAAAAAGACATATTTTAATCCCTCAAAATCATCTCACGCTTTTTTAAATCTCGGGTAACCGGGTCTCAAGCGAACAACCCCTAAAAGCGCAACAACGCGGTTTTGTCCGTTAATAATTAGTGGCCCAATATACATCTGATTATATATTCTCAACCTTGGCTTCAGTCTTTTACCAACTGTATCCTAGCGGAACGATGTTTGTTTCTTTATGACTCGATCATTCATGAGAGAACTAATGACTTTTAAACAAAGAAAATGCAACGGTTCTTGATGCTAATTAAAGGACGTTTCACTTCATGATCGGAAACGATCCGCCAACTTACAACATTTAATCGGCCACAACATTTACAAAAGGCTTACAGATAAATGCAGAAGGAATAGATTTTGAGAAATAGGGTGAATCAATAAACTTTAAATGACTTGAATGTTTACTAGTTTTGATAAAGAGCAAAGGCCAGTCTTTCACCCAGATGCTTTTTTGGAAAATATAAGATTACGTCAGACATATCGAATCGTTTATGAACGTGGGCAGGACACCTGCACATGGATTTTGGAGGTTCTAAATTGCTGACTCATACATAGCTTAGGTTTCTATTCGATATGATTGCTGCAAGGGCTAAAAGCCTAACAAAATGATCGTGTATGATGAGACATTAAAATTAGCCAAATGCTTCAGTGTTATAACTCACGGTTACACCACATTAATTCTATGAATAAACTCTGTTAGTCTAGAACAAACTTTGTTACTAAAGTTGTCCTGGCAACCAGGGACATTTTATCGCTATATAAGAGACAACAATCTAGACTTCCTGTGGTTTGCTATGTATATTCTAGGCGCTTCCTCTTTTTAGCCACTGATCTCTATATAGAAAGAAACTTTTATACCGTCTCTACTAAAGCCCTGGTTACTAGGGAGAATGTAAGTTCAATTATGATTATATCAGAAATCTGATGTAACCGCTCAAAACTCAATGGAGTAGCCCTCTTTTCAAACGTATATCACATTTATTTCTAGCTAAGCTGGTTATCTGCTTTTTTTATTAGGTAAAATGACGCCATTCAGAAATTTCTTATCGTCCGGCTTGATCGTAATAATGTTCCTGATCATAACCGGGGTGAATGCAGATTGCTACACAAGATGTGCAATTGTTCATATCGACTGTTTTCGTGGATGCATATTACAATGCGATGATTGTGTTTCCAGTCAACGGATTTGTTTCGACAAATGTGCCAACCAAAATCAAGCCAGAAAACGAAATTTGCTCCACGAACGACTGTTCCAGTATGTCAACCAATATACAAAGAATTGAAATGAACACACTTTGAAATGAACAATATTTAAAAGTTTTTTGGACAATTCTTCTTGATATGTGTGCAGCGGTGGATATTTTGTAATATTCTGCGTCTAATGAATTATCTTCTCTAGAAATTTCATAGCCAGTGGCTTTTTGAAGAAAATAACAACTTAGAATTAAAAGAATATTTAAATGGATGCTGTATAGTTATTGCCTAATGAATTATTTGTTTATAACGAAGTTTTAATAGTAAAGTAATCGATAGTCATATCTTCAAAACTTCTTGAGCGATCCTAATTTTTACAGCCGATTTCTCGTTGAGCAATCACGTTGTCCAATTAGAATATTAATTTCAAGTATGTGTATTTCACCAATGAAATAAAGATCATTGGACTATTTCTCATCAGTTAAAATGACAAATATATTGATGGATATATTGACCTTGACGAACAAAAGGAGATCAAATTGCTAAAACCAAAATTATAAAGTCCACGTTTAACCACTTATCTCGTTTACGGTCATTTACACTTTGAAAGAAAATTAATCTATTTTCTAATCTGAATTTTTGAATCTATTTTAAGATCTAATCTGAATTTTATTTATTAATTAAAATGTTTGACCACATACATTAACACATATAACAGAAAACTTAATGGCCAAAATCGTTTCCAGGTATATACAATACTGCGGTTAAACTGGTGTTTTGATAGCCGAAACGGACTTTCAAGTTTTTCTTACAAATAATAAGAAAGATAAAACAGAAAAACAATGAAACTGATATGCGTGAAAGTATTTTACCCAGTAACTGTGCATAACCTGCACGAGTGGTAGTCGGCTCCGTTCCCCTGCGCTGTTATATTTATCAGAAAAATATCTTCGATGATAATTTGAAGATGTTCGAGTCTCTCTTTTTCCCAAAGCCAAGGAGAAAACCCTTGAAAAGCAATTCAGTTTAAGGTGGCACAGAGTAGACAACGGTTTCGTTGTGATAATATTCTTGTAAGTTTGCATGGTGACATCAATAAGTAAATTAGTTTGTAGGTACACAACGCGAGTATTTATAATACTGCAAAGCTGAAGGCTCGGGTTAACGGACCGAAAGCTTTGCAGTATTAAATACTCACGTGAGTGATCTACAAACTAATTTACTTAGTTTCATTGTGGCCGAAACACGATATACATCATGCACAAACATAAACTGATTCCTCTCGATGTCTCGACCAAGGCTTGGCCCGCCTTTGCCCTTCGTCGAAGTAAACTCGAAACATTGAGAAGTTTCTCATCGATTTTTTTCATTCGAATAATTGATAAAAGAAAGTGGAGAAAAAAATCTGCTATGTTCGGCAACCTCGTTGCAATGTCCTGGCAGAATACTGATCCAGCTCAAATTGTCTCGAATTGTGATAAATTCTAATCATCCATTTATATACATATGATATTATGAGTTTGATTGAATAAAGTGCACAATCATTTTTATGTTCTGAGTTTCATTAGTTATACGTCCACGCACTTGGACCTTATGAACAATACGGAATATTGTATCAAATTCAAATGTAAGATTGACACTTTCCTGCAGATCAACATAACAATTTTGATTATGCATATGACAACGGCGGTAGATTTTGTAAAATTTGCGGCTTCTATAAATTATTAGCGCTCGAAAGATTAGAATTAGAGATAGTCCTGATAATGAGATTGCCGAGAGATTATTGAGAGTCAAAAAACTGATGCAGGGAAATTGAAGGATATTACTGTTTTATTATTAAATAAATCAAGACAAAAGAAGAAAATTGATTCAAACAACTGTTGCTTGTAAGCGGACGACAAACGTTTATCAATTTTGTCTGCCAGTATTTCCAAAATGCAGCGTACTCATTAAATCTCTTATTGGGGTATATGACGTTTCATTTGTTGTTTTTAGCGCTTCATTAATTTTGATAAAATGGAGGTGAAGATTGTGTACAATATCTGCAGATGTTACAACATAATGATAGCAAATAATTGCAATTAATAATTAGTTTGCGTGACGACCACAAACCAACGTTCTTCGTAAAAAGCATTTATAAAAAGGTAAGGAAGAACGCTATTCTATAATTCAGGGTGGAAATCTTAGAAGAAAGAGCAATTGAAAAATCAAAAATTAAAATTCTAAAATGGTGAGTACATGATTTCATGATGCGACTCGGTTACTGGTATTTGAATATATATAGCTACTAAGTTCAGTGCAATTTTTTATTTTAAATATATCCGCATGACTACATACATGATCCGCTAGCCGCTAAATGACCCGAATCCTTCAGATTGAACGGTTTAAACAGAAGAGAACTTCATCCTGTGATATTAATTTCCCGGAAAGCATGTAGATATTGAATGAGTTAAAGTAATTAAAGACCGCCGACGGTAAAACGTTAGGACGATTATTCAGCTGAGCCTACCACTGAGCATGCAGTGTCTTTTAAACAAGGTACCACATGCACACAAAGGCAAATGTTTAGTTAGTTCAAAAAGAATATTCGTAATGTGTAATAATGAGTAATTGGTTTAATATGCCGCCATTCGTGCATGTGGCTCTTAGCTATATATGTCTAGTTCTTGACACAGGTTTTTTATTGTGCTTAACTTGCCATCCATCATTATATATTAAGCCGGGTGAAATGACTTTTCGTATAGTTCTTATACGCCAGGGTTGAAAATGATGATTTATTTTTCGTAAAAAATTGCGGTAAAAACGTAGGCCCAGTCTGGATAGAAAATTGTTGTAAAAGTTGGTCAAAATCGCATGACACTCTCCTAATTCTGACTCGTTCGTCACGCCCCTGACCGTGCGTTGAGTTGATGTCGAAAGTTATCTAGAATTTGTCGTCAAACACGTTTAGTTAAGGCTTTATAGCCGTTGGTTATACCAAAACCTTTAGTTCTATTTACTGGGACGGCAAAACTAGGGGGGAGGACGGGTAGGTGCCAGGAGCAAGAGGCAGCCGACGCGGCTCTTTCCATTTGAATGATTAAACTGCAATTTGTTATAAACTTCACGAATACTCTCAGACATCGAAATCGTCCAATTACTGTTGGTGTGCTAAGATGTGCGTCAATACAGAGGTGTTCAATCAGGACAATCTGCCCCCCCCCCCCTATTGCCTTTGCATCGTTCCAGTGTCCCTGCTTATCCATAACAAAATCTCAACCATGGTCTTATTATGCCATCAAACAGTAAAAATTCAGTAACACGTGAATATTTTTATCTTTTAGATGAAAATCGTAGGATTGACGTTGATCATTGCGTGTTTTCTTCATAACAATATTCCCACCAGCGCTGCAAGCAGAGTTAAAAAATGTGGGTGGATGTGTCAAGCAGAAGTGACAAGATGCGTTAACAATATTATCTGTGGCAACACGAGGGCATGTTTACATCGTATGGATGAATGTATCATGTACAGAATGCCATGCGTTAAAAATTGTATGTCGGCGTAAGAGTATAGAACGCTATAAAACTTTAACGAGACTACCTTTATTAATAACGTTAACATCGTACCACACTGAAGTATTAATCGATAATCGTAAACAGTAAAAATTATTAACATAACAATTGGCTTTTTGCATCATTATCTCACAAAACAATAGTAGCTAAAGGGGCTGTTTGTTAGAAATTAGAATGGGACTAAACTTGCGACTTTCACCTTCACTTTTCTAACCTCACGGTGGTCGAGGTATACCGCATACAAGAGATCGATGATGTTGTTAACTGAACTTAAGAAGTATAACGGCTTATATATAACTAGTTGTCGTGACTCGTGAATATAAATAAGCTGATATACACCTACGGTAGATCTACCAGCATTACACAACATTAGTTCTCTAATCCCTGGTTATATATACGCAAATTGTAGAAAAACCATTTCTGCATGTTTGAAAATTACCAAAGAGAAGGGGCGGGGAAGAAGAATTTCGAATTCATTTCTTGACGCGGCGATATTTCAAGATTCTTCTGTGTAAATATTAGTGCCCTTAAATTGACGACATGTTGTGTGTTTTTTATTTGAATTGCATATTTTCCATAGAAGATTACTAGACTTCACTAGACTTCACCCATTAATTGTTCGTAGACGTTCGAATTATATTTATGATCGTTTTATTGTCCCAATCTGCAGTGCTGCAAAATCTCGAAAGGTTAAGGTCGGGCGCGTGATAGCAAACAGCAAAAATTTCGGGAACTGATATACATGCAATTCAATGTTTAAATTCCGGAGTCGGGCATCTTGAATATTAGTGATTCCATTGAAGACATGCATATATTAGTGTAAACGGCTACGAATACTTCATAAACATGTATAGGAAGAGGCTGCTTAGTGCTGAGTGGGTCAGTATAACGAGTTAAACCGATGAAGAGGGATTCCGGAGATAATTTTTCACATATGCGCTCATTGAGAAAAGAAAATATCAGTCAAGCCACCCAATAATGTATTTGTGTTGTTTGGGGAACGCCAAACTCTGTTAGGATTTGATAAACGCATAGCGTTAATGCACGAATTTTATCTACAATATTAAATTATAATGTTACAACTCAATATATGCCGAGGAAAATAATTACCGGGCCGGACAACGTTTTCATCAATATTCTAACGAGATATTATAAAAAATTGTATAGACTATAGCGGCGTAATCTCGTATTTCTTTCGTGAATATCAATATTAACCATGATTAAATCATGATAATAGAAAAAACAACTGTGGCATGGGATGGCAATTTTTCAAATTCAATTCATTCAAAATTAATCATTAATTATTCAAACATCTTTCGACGTAATTCTAGATATCAGAGTGAAGTTGGACCAAATCAAAACTCGAGAGATGTTCAACAACATAATTGAATAAATAGTTTTCAATTAGAGAAGATTAGTAAATCTCTGGCTTCATTTCACCATAAACGATGAAACATCTTTTAACAATGCGACGGCAATTTTATGATCACACGGAGTTTAATAAATTCAAACAATGGCGTCAAACTGATAATTATGCAAATGTTTGCTCAAACAATCATAACAAACCAGTCATTGGTGGACACGATTTCTGGCATCAATTGTTTTCCACCTCTTGTATAAATAACAAGACACTCTAACGTTCTTCTTCACACGAAGACAGAAAGTGATCGAAACAGACAATATAACTAAAGTTCAAGGTATGTATATGTATATATCCAATCGTATATAGATATATCTCAGCCTTCAGTCACTCCCAAAAATTCCTAAAGTTAAAGCAAAGACAAGTTAAGCTCATAATCTAACCGATATAGTAGTTTTAATTGTGTTTCCGACATCCAATTATTATATATATTGTAGTTATATTCTATAATGATTATAGTTGAATTGACATTGGAATTGCCTTACATTAATAGTGGGATACAATTGTCAGTGAACATTTTCATTTTCAAAAGAATTACCATTATAAAACAAGTGTAATACATGTTGAACCAAATCGCTAATTCAACTGACAAATCACAAATATGTCAAAATCGCCAAGACTCTATTGCGATTATAGCAATTATCATATTCAAAAGATATATAGAAAAGAATTTAGTGTATGGCTTTCCATATAGCTAAATAAATCATATTACATATAATAAATATAATAGATATCATATGAAAAATTGAAAAATGTTGCGTAGTGATGGTGTATAGCTTATTGGAAGTGGCAAGACAATACACAAAACTCTTCTTTGCCATGACAGGCCATGAATATACGAGGAAAAAATTATTCATGTTGAAAATTTATACCATTAGTTACGTACTATGCATGGTTCTGCATTAAATTCACCGGCTTTACTTGAAAATTTTTATAGGTAAGTTACTATAAATAAGATTATATTAAAAAAGCTTAAAGAAGGTATAATTTTTGTAGCGAATCGTTCTACACTGCATATTAACCATGAGTGCATATACAACGCTTCAAACTTTATATATGTACATGTACAGTCGGAATATTATTGGGCTAAAAACAAACTGAAACTCAATTCTCAAAATTTCTTTTTATAAATTCGATTAAAAGTTAAAACATGCATGATAATCTGTTTACATAACTCAACGATAATATTAATTGCTATAACAACAGAACAATATGATCAGTTCAAATTATCTGCCCCCGTTGCATTTAAGTTTGCCCATTTTTTTGTCAAAACATCCGAAATATTGGTCCGTCTGGGAGATATAAACGTCGTATTTATTAGCCGTTGAATATGTTTTTATACATCTTTCTGGCAGTTTCTGCATACTTCAACTTCAAGTCTATTTGATAATTTATATAAAGTTATTTTTTCGACAGCGGCGCGTATATATATATATATAATTATATATATATATATATATTATATAATATATAATATATTATATATATAATATTATATATATATATATTAGAGATGATATCCATCGATGAAGCATTATCATTGGTCGTTACTGCTTAAATATTGGCAGCATAATCCGTAATTTTGAGCAATAAGTATAATGTTTAACTAATATTCATGGCCAGAAATTGCGGACATGGAATATGCAGATTGCCGTAGCAAATTTGCATATCTGTTCAAATATTATTCGTTTGCAGAACTATAAATTATATTGCGCATTCTTAAATTTTGCAAAATTTAAGAAAATCATTGCATCTTTGCTATTTGCCCTGGTTGTTTCTTGTAACTCGTGTCATATTGAAGATCCTGAGGTAATATTTTGCTGGCAAAGGTTTATGTCGGCTCTGCATTTTTATTTTATTTCTACGCTATTACGGTTTTCGTTTTATATGGTATTCAACGTTATAAATGACCAAAACTTTGTTTTGAAAATGCAGGACGAATACTGATAAAACATTTTGAAATACTGCATAAAAATATTAAGATTAACTTGCTCTGCAACGAGCAATTAAGGCAAATTATAATTGACCTACCTAAAGGTGTATTTTTAGCGTTTAGTACTGTGCACATTACAGTTTACTATAAACTCACGAAGCTTTATTTTGACACCATATGCAAATTTAGGCGGAAGTAGAATGTTAAATATGTCCGAATTTTCTGGCCATGTAGAATGCAGGTTACAGGAACTCGCTATAGAGTGCTCTGTTCTGCATGCGAAACTATAAATTTCGAATGGATTTCGTTATCTTTTCAGATCGATATCAGGAATGTCATCAAGAGTATATTTGATGATCTTGCTGTTAGCGTTCGCCATCACAAGTTGCAGCTGATTGTTGGGCTGATTGTGAGACTGCTTATGCACGATGCTTCCAGGATTGTAATTTCGAAGAAGGTTGTCTCCCAGAATGTGCAAAGAAAAACAACGCCTGTAAAATGAATTGCTAATTATTTTGGACTGCAAATGGTTGTCATATATATATATACATATATTTATTTTTTCAATGTCAAAATACTGTTAACTCGTGTATGTCTGTAGAAGTAAACAAGCTTAAGAAGTTAAGGAATGAAAAGAATTATTTGCATTTGAAGTAGAAAAATGTTTAACAAATGTCATACGACATAATTTAGCTAATTCCTGCTTATAATTGTATCCAACATAACAAATAAATTTAAAACATGAATGTTGATTGTTAAGAAGTATAATTAAAGAGATATAGCAAAGAAATCGCTCGTTACCGTTTCTTACAAATTCAGAATAAAGATGAAAATGGAAATCACTATTTGATGGTTATATATCAATTATATGGCGAGAGCCCCTCTCTCCATTAAGCCTCTCTCTCTATTTGACCCCTCTCTCTATTAAGCCCCTCTCTCCATTACGCCCATCTCTCCATTAAGCCCCTCTCTCTATTAGGCCCCTCTCTTTATCAAGCCCGCCTCTCATTAAGCCCCTCTCTCTATTAGCCCTCTCTCTATAAGCCCCTCTCCTATAAGCCCCCCTCTCATTAAGGCCCCTCTCTCTATTAAGCCCCTCTCTCTATCAAGCCCCGCCTCTCCATTAAGCCCCTCTCTCTATTAGGCCCCTCTCTCTATTAAGCCCCTCTCTCTATCAAGCCCCGCCTCTCCATTAAGCCCATCTCTCTAATAAATCCCTTTCTCTATTAAGGCCCGCCTCTCTATTAAGCCCCTCGCTTTATTCAAACTGTTGAACTTGCAGACCATTTACAAATTTGTATTTTGTTTTTCTATATATAATACTATGAACGTATAGTTAAATACATTACATTTTGCAGGAGATTTTACGCACAACTAAATAAGCCCTCCTCTCAATTAGGCCCCGTCCGTAATAATGTGCCTGGTTTTAATTTTACTGACATCGATTTTCTTGACATGAACGCATGCAGTTATAGGAGGGCTTATTATAAAGTCATTAGAGGTTATTTAATATTTTAAAAATTTTAATCGTCAGACTATACAGTAAAAACGTTTAATTTGCTATTGAGGAATGTTTTATAATCTATCGACGTTTCGTTGAAAAAAAATCTATGACTAGGCTGTATATAACAGGAAAGAATGGAATATATATTTACATATACGACAATTTAGTATGAATAAGGCACTTGATTTGTATTCACAATAATGTTAATGGTAATGTTAATTTTTATACATATTGGAAACAGTCTTTTATAATTTTTATTTTATTCTACGGACTTTCATTCGATAATATATATATCCTCACAATTCATTAGCTAAATATAAAATCCACTAAAATAAATTAATCTACTTTCTTTCACATATACTATTTTATAAATATGATGGATAATTTCTTTCTGGAAAATCTTGTGAGACGTTACTTGCCCCACTAAGGCTAACTCGTCGTTCAATTATTGAATGTACACGTTGAGAGCGACAAACGCCAGGTCTATTTTCTACATTTGTCCCATGGTGGGTGTTCAAAATCCTTCTGCTATCTGCATGGCAACATTCACAAAAGTGCTGTTCAACAAATGAACAACATTTTGGACAGACATGCACCGGTGTCCTTTGTTCCATACGTGTTAACATCCCCGCTCGGTGATTAGAACTCACTCCAGGAACATTTGGGTTGTTATTTACACTTTCATCAGCAGAAAATGGATGCTCATAAAATGATCTGTTGGTTGACTCTGACATACAGGCTGTGCTCGTACGAGACGAAGATGGTCGATGGCTGGTGTGAGAGGATGGATGTTGACTTAAAGTTGTCTTTGTTGCATTTTCATGTAACCTTTGACGTCTTATTCTTATAATAATGATTGCAACAATGGAAAATGTTATAACAATCAAAATTACGAGAATACCAATAAATGTCATTTTGGCAAGTCGCCTTGATCTTAACTGAGACCTTGTTGATGATGCAGAGACAGGAGTTTTTGATCCGTCTAGAAAATCAAAGATTTAGTCAAGTATACAAATATGCGTTTACAGACAATTGCATGCCGATGTGTAAATATTAAAGAAATAAACCTATTAAATGAACATTTAACTGGAAACTTTGTATATTATACTACAATATAACACTGCAGTCTGCCTCAAAAGTATGATTCGTTTTTACGCTGCCTCAATGATCAACTGTGAGGCTGTGTAATTTTACACCGAAGTGCACCGTACTGCAAAAAGGAGTGCTTAATATGGAGAATGGCGATCTCAGGCGACTGTATAATAGGTTTAGGTAATATGACATGTATACTTAATCTGTATTATTCGTATTTCACCGAATGCGCACATTATTTAAATATAAGATTACCTTACCGACGCTAGAATATGAAAGCTGGAAACCAAAACTGTTTTGCAGCTGGAAATTTCCATTAGTGCCATTATTCTCATACCATATTGAAACTATGTTAGATGTACTGTAAATATCGTCAACTTGAGTTTGACTTTGATGTGTTATTCTCTTCAATATTTCCGAGTTAGAACTATTTCCATCTCTTATCACCACTGATGCATTTTTTTCAAGGTTTAAGGAATCAAACCATATTTTTATTGTCTTTTGTTTCGCTATCTCAATGAACCAGTGACAATTTGACCGTTCTTTAGTTATGAAAGACACACGAGACTTCGGGGATATGATAGTACCAGCAGGCATAGAGAACACGCAGCCACATGATTTGCACTCTACAGGAAAATATTATACAAAAATTGTATGTATGCCCTTAATTTAACTTAAATAATTAACAAACAAAAAGGGTGTGTAAAAAGTTATAACAATTACTAAATAGTTATGAATGAAACATTAAGCGTGACGAGTTTCGTTGAGAATGGGTGGTTAAAGGTCTTCCATATACCCGGTACATTAGACAAACATATTAGTCATAGAGAACTAGCTCAAAATAGTCGCATAATTTTCATTCATTTTGTTAGGTTGTCATGAATTATCCTTTAACTAGACTTTTATACTTAACGAGTGATTTTCGTTAAATTACCCAGCAAGAAATTCGTTTTATGTTCCTATTGTATGTATTAAAAAATGTCCTTATTTAAAAATGTATTTCACGTGACCTTACACCTGACGTCATCACGTCTTCTCAATAATCTCACAAGATCAGGGGCGGACTAGGGCGGTACATTGCTAGAACACCCACTCGTCAGCGAGTATGAAAACTTCATATTTAGTTGGCAAAACTTTTGAATAAAATAGACTTTTCTTATCTAATGATATCGAGCTACAGATCTTAGAGCAGCAAATTGAACACTTTCCCCATACAATGCAAACACTCTAAGACGGGCGTTTCCGGAATTTTCCTTGATCGAACAACCATGGTGGCGCCATTTACACTCTCTACGTCTGGGCTTTATGTTTATATTTCAACATTTGGCTGATCGCTTGGTCTTGGACGTTTAGATCGTCGCGTCCCTAAGCCAAGACCTTACCTTCACATGGCGACAGCGAGCATGACTTTGACTCTATGCCCTTTCCGGCGCAAAGTGAGGTATCGTCTGATTTTTGAAAGCGATAACTTTCTAAAGGACAATATCTCAGTCTGTATTTCTTTCCTTTGCCACAACCACCAAACGCAGTACAAGAACTCCAAGCTGACCATTTCGACCACTCAGTCCATTGAGGTCCTATAACATGAAAATGTTTTACGATTAAAATCTTAATTTATTCTCAGATTTAGCCGGTGGCTTAGTGGTCGTTCATTTCAGTATTCATTCTCCGATTATAGACCATTGTGTAGACCGAGCAGGTGGAAGTGTGGGTACTGGAAACTGTAAAATTTTAATTACAGTAAAACGTATTCATTTTAAATAATAAGCATTTGCTACTTGAGGCGTTTCTTAGTTCCTGACGGCAATCGAATATATAGGGTATGAAGTGAAGCATTTGCATACTTCTTTATAAACTCTATAGATTGCGGAAATTTCTCACCCTACTGTAATATCAACTAAATAAATGGTTTCCTGAATGTAAGAAACAAAGACAAGGAGGAGAAAAATGAGTTGTAAATGAACTTGGAACGTAATTGTGAGATAATGATCTGGTGTTGTCATGATCTTCAAAAGCGAATATCTCTCTTCCTCGCTGTCAAACAACAAGATTGGTCGAAACTTTACCGATTTGAGATTTGTTTAGCGATAAAATAGATTGTCATGTCCTTAGACCAACGTGTTTTAAATGCGTCAGTATATATCAAAATCAAATCAATCATTTATACATACCCGTTCGCTTTTTTGAAGGCACGCACAGAGTTGCTTGGACCTTCCTTTCATTGGTCAAAGAAGACTTTGTGGTGTAGTAAAAGCAATAATCACGAATTTGCTTTTTAAATATTGCGCATGAGAAAAATGCGGATCTGAAACCATGGAAAGCTCTTTGAGAGTCAATGACGTTATTATAAACCTTGGATCTCATTTCAATCTTGTCTTCGGTTCTGTCGCAATAACCAGGTGAAGAAAACTTGATCACGAAGGAATTAGAGCAAGGGAATATACTTTTTGATTGAGCTGTAATCTCATACTTTCCCCAGATGACGCTTATGTTATGACTTCTCGCTATTGTTTTTGTTGTACTCTGAAATATATACCAAGTAAAATATTCCAGGTGTGTCAAACATATCACAGCGAAATTGCACTCGTGATCTGCTTTCAAGTTTCTCTTTCTTGATTTTCTTTGTGGCGACTAAAACATGCTCTTTACTGCTCTTTATCCAAAACAATTTTAAGTTTCCTCTAAAGGGTTTGCAACGTCCTTGTTTGCTGTTCAACCATGCTGATAACGAGCCACCAAATGCCGTGTGGTTCTTCTTTACTTCAATATGAACTTTTTCGCTTCGGACGATGAATGGTTTTGATGTCAACAACCTGAATTTCTTTGTAATACCTTGTATAAAGTATTCAATAAAGTATCGACCTGGCTTGGAAAATATCTCACACGAGATTTCCAATTGTGTTTGATTTTCACGCGAACTCTTATTGATAGTCATTACCAGCTTATTTCTGTTCAAAAGCCTCAGTTTAATAACTTGATTTGAAATGTTGTGCTGGCTCTGTTCTTTACCAAACCGAAATGTCAGTTTTATTGAAGTTTCGAAACTACGAAATCTCCTAACCGAAGGAGTGTACGACACCCTAAAGGATCTTGAAGGAAGTCGCTTGTTGCTAGTACAGCCTAAAATGAAAAGGGTTTAATATGATAAAAAGGCAGCAGATTCTGTCACGATAGAAAGCTCAAATAATTCTCTCTCGACGATGCTCAATTTAGACATGAATTTCAAACACAGCCAGAGCCAGAGGCAGAGCAAGACAGCCAGAGGATTATTATTATTAATTGGTATTGTAAACAGTGAATTATAAATTACTTTTATATAAACATGCGTGTGCATGGAAAATGGAAAGATACGAATTAACGAAAAATAAAGCGTCGCGTATATACACAGTATATGCAAGGCCGTCGCAGAATTTTTGAGCTTGGGGGACAGTGATCTTTCTTGTATAGGGAACGGTGTGTTTTTATAAACAGGACATTACATACAACTTCTGAAAATTGTAAGTTACATTTTTTTTCTAGGGGGAGCTGCCAACCTGACCCCCCCCCCGCTATGTACGGCCCTGGGTATATACTGTTGTATGTGATGACTGCAAACATCTGCAGTTTATATAATTGCCAAAATAGTTGCATAAATATTAATTCCTGTTTTTATTACGCGAGTTTATAGCGATATGAACTAAAATCGTGCTAATAATGTGCATGTTTGCAATGAGACAAGAATTCTATTGTAAACAACGTAAATATATCTCAATTTTGGTTATCAAAAAAATTCTCGACCAATCTTGATATGAAGATTAAACGAGAACACAAGTTACAAACAAGCATGCACAACTACACATTGAAGCCCTGCGGAGTCGCAAATAGCAAATTAACTGCCGCGATAGTATACGGACTATACATTGCACAAACCTTAATGCAGTTTATATATGTTATTTTTGCTAAATTTTGTATATGCCTTGTGAATTGCAGCCAGTTTATAATAACAACTCAAGCGACCTTAAAATATCCTTGTCTAGCGTACCTGATATTTGAAGCAAACCAATAACAATGACAATGTATATGTTATGAGGGTCCATCGTATAGAATCATCAGTATATCTGTCGTTCAGCAAACCACGGATATAAACTATAAGACAAATAAAGATAAGATACTTGCATGAAGGTTATATAGTTTGTCTTTCCAATAGAAACGCTAACATAATAATCATACGAAAGTCATACATGAATGAACGAGCATTAATATCAGGCTATTGTAAGATCTTTTCACAATTTCCGAGCTGAATTAATCAGGTACAATTAAGGTGATGACAAAGTGCAATTATCACTCCACGCCTCCAATTCACCTTTAGCTGGCTTGTGACAAAAGACTTGTTATAAAGAATACGAGCAATTATATTCCCTGTTTCCTGTTAAGTAAAAGGTCATATATGCTATAATATGTCATTAGCTAGTTTTATATTACGACTTCGTAAATATTGAACAAAAAGCTTGGGACAATATGCTTACACTCATGCAGTGAAACAATATTGTGGCGTGTAGTCTTGCCATCGCGCGATGCGGGATAATCTTCACAGCAGGTTCAAAATTCATTCAAACGGATTTGTCTATCAAAAAGTTGACTATCACTTTGACTGTCTTATATAGCTTGCATATTTTACTATATAGACTATGCCTATAACACAATAATTGGTATTTGTTCAGACTTCAGACAAACAGTTTGATTTATCAGTGACAGTATATACCTATCAATATTATCAAATAGCTAGATGCCATAATTGAAAAATCGGCAACTGAGTTCTCCATAATTCAAAACATTTCAAATGATATTACCTTTTGGGCTTTTGATATTCCTAATGAAAGAAAAGTAGACACTTTCCGAATTTACCCATGCAGCTAATGACAATGAAAAGAAAGGAACAGCAGTTGCCTGCCAATTGCAGTAACCAGTACGTATAGACTGCCCACTTTTTATAAGTTGTACACTGTCTCATGAAATTAAAATTTGGAAGTGTATGCATGCAGGATTCTATAATAAAACATTCACATGCAGTTCACTGTTGCTATGCGTCTATTCAATATTTAGTCTATAGACTATATTTAAATTTAAACGAAAAACAAATATTAATTTGCTCAGCGTACCAATTTACGGCACTGAGTACAAACAAATTATCTCATATGACTATATTCATGTGTACATAATATGTATATTCAGAGAGGAAAAATTAAAACTATAGACTATGAGCATGGCTTGTTAACTTGTTAACGTGATGACCTCTATATGCATGTATAGTTGATATAATTAAGGCCTGCTTTCCACTTTGAGTATATGGCTTTTTTAGCACTTACGTACACGCACGCAAAAGTTTAAATTCATGCTTTTAAATTTTTCTTATTTAACATGATAAAATCTAAGTCGACAAATGCATACTGAATTACGCAGGAAACTAAGTTCTTTCGAATTATTCACTTATTTAAGCATTTAGACTTTTACGTGCGTGTACGTGCGTATGAAAAACGCAACAGCGGAAAGCAGCCCTAATTTCAAAAAAACCAACACTACAGACACTTGATATATGAAAGCAAAAAATAGTGGTTACCTAGCAGTTAACTTAAAAAAACGGATATCTCGTGATTCGAGGGATTATAAGTTCGGGAGTAAAGTTGCTTGAATATGCTCCTTGGCCTTGGGTCCTTTCGTTTATGACATGCAGTCCAAAAATAGTCGCATTTATATACTATTTGGTAAACGTTTGCAAAGACTGTCACGAATTTTATCATTTTTTCAGAAAACGACCCATTCTTATTGATTTCCGGGCTTATCTCGTCATCCCTTAAATATAGTTCTCTGTCTGGCATTATGATGTGGCGTGACTGATAGCATGGTACAGAGAAGATTGTAAGATAATAACAGTTTACCATACATTTGTCTGGCAATTTACTGATATTCTACATACATATATATCTTATCTCAGATCATAAAGAGGGAAACATGAAAGTAATATTATTAAGCCAGACCTTTGTCTATTTATAAAGAACAGATGATGTCCATGAAGGTCAGCTTTTGGATTAAATGTGGCCATCACTGCATGCTTGGCATGTCTTGCAAATTGATAATAACACGTATATAGATGACTTATCACTAATTTGAATCAAAATTTCAATCCCCCTGCATGCTAACTATAAAAGTATCAACGACACACATCGCAAATATATACTTACTTGGTCAAACTGCACTCAGTCGACAGCGGCAATCAGGTATATTACGTATATGGCTAATACTCAAGCGGTTTTCATTCGCTTGATTGATTCTGTCACTGACGAGAAAATCTGAATCTTTACTGATCCATGATTAACTCTACCAACATTCACAAACAACAACACAATGTTGCATGCAGTGTGAGGAACATCAAAACAATTAAGATCATTGAATTTTAGACTTAATATTGTTTACATAGTGTCTGATATATGACTTTATAATCTTCCCTCTTGAGTACTTTTGTGCGTCATATTAAGTATCCTCCAAGCCTTAGTTATAATAAATTTATCCGATTACATTCTGAACCTAATGCGCGGGTAATCCGTAGAAATATTTAGTTGTGAAATATGTAAAAAAAACGCCAAGCAATTTCCCGTTTCTTGCATGAAGAAAAGAAAGGAAAAAATATCGACCTTAATTCCAACACTTCACATGCCGCGATTGTATGCTGGTGGACAGAATATGACTGCTATAAAAAGCAGACATTTGGCGGGTATTTTCTTTTCTTCTCACAAAGAATTAAAAAGTCAGTTCTGGAATTTCATAGAAGCAAAAAATTAAGATATGAAATGACATTAATGAATATTAGAAAGTTTACTTATACCACTGTACGACGGTTATGATGCAACTAACTGTAGTTTTATATATTCACAAATCATGCAGGCACAGACGACAGGATTATATATACCTCGGAGTTGTTGGATTGACATTTCACTCATACACGCGACAGAATCTTGTATCTTGGTTCTTTCAACGATAGCATGATATAAACAGTGATAGCGGTTTAAAAAAGTCAAATAACGCCATCAGGCAAACCAGTAAACATGCAGTTAAAACGTGATTTATTATATTTTTCGCACCATACTATTAAAAAACATTTATTTACAGACTATTATATAGGACAGGGATCCCTGAGCCTGAGGTGCAAATCACCAAAGATTTAAGTCGAGAGGAATTGTCGGCGTTGGATCACATATAGGCATAGCGTTGACGCACAATGACATCAGAATATTCATCAGAATTAAAAACCGAAAATTTCTAGCGGTGCAGCACACTTGAAAAGAATTGAAATCAATATTTCGTTTCTCAAAAGGAATTGTTGCTGTCCTTCGCGAATTTTCTTTGTTTTTAATTTCGCTCAATTATTTTCAATTCAGTATTCATTTATAATATCACGCTTGAAACTACTATATCACGGCCACCATGCATGCATGGCTTCAGCTCCTAGCCTCCTATCTTATAGGAAAGATAACGCTCTATATGATTCAGCACCGACCGAGAGGATTGCCTGGGTAAAAACAGATGGATTGCGGAAATAAAGCAATTCTGTAAAAGCCAAAACTTTTCGATGTTTCGTCGTCAATAGAGTTAGTACGACTTAGGAATAGTATGTCGAGACTGTGTTTTTTGACCTCATGCAGCGCATATATATATTTATTCATGATTCTTCTCCGTCATATATTGGCTCTGAAATTTTATGGCGTCCGTGGTCTGCTCTGAGTTTTAGACACTATTTAATTCACTTCAAGTTCCTTATAATTATGATTAATCGCTAAAAGTCGCTCACGATTATCTGATTTAACCGTACATTAAGAGTCTCCAATATGCCAATGTTTTTTTTCAAAAATACATGTGACAATCACATGTCTCTTTCAATTCGTGCATTATGGTGGCATGTAGCAAGACGTATATGTATGAGTGAAAGACAGACAATCAAGATGAAGATGCATGTATACCTTGCATTTATGAATTCCCTATGCAAACCTATATCATATAGATCATAGGCGTATGTCTTTTATGATTTACGACTACATTGTTCACTGCAGTTTCAGGAAATTATCCCCTCTAAATAGGGGTGGGGTTAATGTTTCTCAGAAATATTTCTTTAAATATGTAAAAGTTTTGTCTGTTTTGAAACGTAAATAAACTGACCAATTCTCTCTCTCTCTCTCTCTCTCTCTCTCTCTCTATATATATATATATATATATATATATATATATATATATATATATATATATATATATATTATAAAATAAATATATTGATTTTCAAAATCTTCCATTGGATGGAAGATTGGGTGAAAATTATGATCTGCACGAGAGGATTCTTTATGGTGACTAAACATTAAATAAAAATCGGTGCATGCATGTTTCGCCAATTCTGATAAATTTGATATTCTTTTGTTCTAAAAGTCACTCAAACAATAAAATGTCACGCGATGCGTTCAGACATGCAACTTATTTTTAAGTGCTCCGTTTTGAAAAACGTCTTCATTTAAAGGGTCTAAACAAATTGTTTAGTGCAACCTATAATGTTTTTGTCGCATACCGAGTAAGATATGAAATCCGGTATTGCACGCCATACCATGCATATGTACTGTACAACTACAAGAACAAGGTAATTCATTATTTCAAGTACCCGTGCATGGCGTGTATATATACTAAATGTGTGATTATTCTAATTACGAGGAAAATTTGTTTGTCAGCTGGACAAAACAGGATTTCTAAAACCCACTTATCATGTCGAAAGCTTAACCGAAACTATATCCGACATCTTCATTTCTAGACAGGGCGCAGACATCACATTCATATATTATTAAAGTTATTAAATACCACGAAGAAAGTATTCAATATATGCCGACTTTTACCGTACAATATGTCCATTTTTATTCCTAGTTACATGCCTTTAGCGAGGAATGTGCATGATGAATTTGTGATCATAAACAAGTTAACATTGTATATTCTGGGATTCATCTAATATTTGATGCGGAAATTAATCAGTGACAAAGATTATCTTAACATAATATCAGTAGTCTGTCACATATTTAATTTATACTCTTCTAGTCTCCTACGGCTACGATTTTATGCTACAGGACAAACTGGAAGCGGCAGTTAAGATTACAAAATGTTGAATTATAAATACATATATAAATTGCATATAATATATTATATAGTTCTAAGCAAATATAAAGTAAAGAAGTAAGTAGGCAAAGAAGTAAGATCATATTATGTATAGATGAATGCGTCATCGGTAGTATTTGATAATTGGGATGGCGAAAGCATAAAATTATTATTGATATATAAGTCAGTCAGCCTATATTAAGTAACACTTCAATTATAACTTAGAGATTTTAAAAAGAGCATTAAGACTAACCTGAAAGAATGGCCTTGAACTTGCTCAAAATGGGTTTTCACATTTATATTGGCAAGTGTGGGAAGAGAACTTTCCCGAGTGAAAATGTGTGAACTTGTCGCGCTTTTAGTCAAGTCATTGCTTGGATGAACTGTGTCCGTAATTTTATCTCATGTTTGCGTGTCCGTCAGGGAGATATAGGAAACAAGGCAGACATAACCACTTGAACGAAGCCTTTTAAAATCTTTGTTTTTATCTAATACCCATTAATCTTTCAACCTTTATGCCTCATTTTCCGGCTAAATGTTTTTAAATTAACGATAATGTTTCAAATCATGCAAGAACAGGAACGCGTTCTATATACACTAACGGCAAATCCGAATGCTAATCATACCATATGCATGGGTTATACAGATAATTTTTAAGGTGCATGTCAAACTTTCGACACTGTAGTAATTTAGGCCAGACAACTATTTGAAAAAAATCATAAAAAAGCTGAGTTTATTCGGAGTTAAAGACTGTCGCTTTTTTCTAAACAAAGCCTGCATCTTTGGTTTCATAATTCGTATTGCAATATGAAACCAAGGATGGATATACATGCTATAAGAAACAGTAATTCTTACATTAAGAATACATGAACCTGTTTTGTTTATATAAACTATAAAAACTAAAAGATATTTTGATTTTTGCTGTCAATCTTAGACTGAGGTGGGAATGTAAAAAAAAGGAATGTTGCAAATGTGCTGGTGTGAATTTCATGAATGGATTATAAAGAATAACAATGTTATTATCGCAACTAAATGACGTTAAAATAATTTGTATTCTTTGTGATAGCAGACCATGTAGTAAAGAGATAATATCAATTGCTTTTCGTTCAATATGAATAAAGAATATTTCATATAAGGGAACCGTAAAGACATTCTTATAATTCAAAGTCGTGATGAGAAGTGTCACAACATTCTGGGCCTCACCCAATTGTTGATATGACGTCAATCACTTCTCTATGTAGCTTTGTAAAGCTCCTTTTAACCAGGGCATATTATAATACAATCTATGTGGGAGACCAAGATGTACCAAATTACCAATGTTTCAGTCCGCTTTGCGCAATAGTTTGCACGGAGGGCGCGCGCGCGGTACACGCAACAAAAAATGTGATGCCTCGGTTGTTTTAATATTTTGTCTTCAAAATTTTATAAATCTTTTAATATCTCTTATTTATAGAATTACAAAATTCAGTTTTCGCCTGATAAAAAGAATCATCTAATTATGGTCAAAACCTTATAACCATATCAAAGCATGCACCCACTTGCAAGGGACTGCTGTTGTTACCATAATGGAATGAAAGAATCTTGCATCGTAAAAGAAACCTGAAATCTTTCAATGCATTGTCTTCATCATCGCCCGGGGAGAACGATAGTAAGGTTATATCGTGCCGGAATATTGCAGAAAAAGAATCACAAATCACCCGCAAATCCCACCATGTTCATCAACGATCTTCCCACGAGTAGAGTAAAGACCCTGGGTACGAGGTTGCAACGATCTTAGATTTTGACACAGAACCATCATTTTTACAGTGCAAAAAACCTCTAATCTGGAGTACGTCAATCCGAAGATGGGGATGTTATTAACATCTTGCAAGTTACCTATTGATCCGACGAAGAAAGGAATTTGCGTCGTTTAGAATAGAAAGTATAGGTGTTAAAATAAAGTTGAAGGATGAAGTTTACAATCACAAAACTAGTGCATGTCCGAAAATAGTTGTAAAAAATTATTCATCGATCCTTAATGTTCGTTCCTTCAATTGCTGATAGCCCGGGGTGACTCATGCATTAAGATTTTTGGAAAGCCCGTTCAGACTTCAGAAGTTATCTGAAACCCGACGTGTGACAAGTAAAATTTATGCAATTATTTAAGGAGTTAATATTGACTGCGGGGATCCAATAACAAGTATGTGTCATCAAAGTCTAGAACAGGCGTCTAATAAACAGACTCCCGATGTTACAGTATGCATGATGGCAAACGATGTTCACGGGTACAAAGATGAAAGATTTCGTCACGCCGTTAGCACACATTTCCACTGTGGTATTTGCCAGAACGTATTAAAAGAACCAGTAACCTGTCGGAGAAACGAGCATTACTTTTGTCGTTGCTGCATCTGTAAACATTTGGAAAATTCGTCGACGTGTCCGACATGCCAGGAGGAGCTCTCGCAAGAAACTATCAGTCAAGCACCGCAGATCTTGCGAAACTGTTTAGACGAGTTGCACATTCGTTGTGATTATGCTGATAAAGGTTGTCAAGAAATGGTCCAGCTAGCTCAGCTTCAAAACCATGTCGACGAATGTGGTTTTGCACCAGTTTCTTGCTCGAATGAAGGATGCTTCGCTGAAGTTCAAAGAAAAGATTTAATTGGTCATCAACAAGGATTATGCGAGTTTCGAAAGTGTTATAATTGTTCTGAATTACAGCATGTTGTTCATGAAATCAATGTGAATACGATTTCTGTGAACAATCAAATGAAAGATCTCAACAATTTAAAAGCTATAAATGAAAGCTTAGTCATGGTTAAAGAGGAAGTCTTCAAAACAAGGAAAGATACAGTTCAAGTGTTACATCGTTTGGAAGCTTTAGAGGAGCAAGTTCGAGCTACAAAAGAGATGCAAGAAGCAATGAGAGAAGCAGAAAGATTGACTACAGTTGGTGAGACGTACCAAGCTCAAAATATTCTTGTGGCTGGAGGACGTAGAACGGACTTCGGCGAGATGAAACACGTGGAACTTTTCAATTTGTATGGAATGTCGTGGTCGCCACTGCAGCAAATGAGGGAGAGTCGCGTTGGATCATCTGCATTCGTGTTTAATAATGAAATCACAATCGTAGGTGGTAATACCAATCATGGTCCAACTGAAACTCTCACGAAGCTTTCTATCAGCCCAGATATGAAAAGCTCGTCTTGGTCTGAGCTCTCGACGCGACTTCCTGAAAAATTGTATGGTCACAGCAGTGTTCTGTGTGATGGACGTGATGGAATTGTTGCTCATATCGGTGGATGCAACAAAAACAAAAATATATCAAGGAACATTCATCAACACAGAATATCGCCGACTGGGTTTCAGTCTTGGTTACCCACTCCGTTTATGCCAGATCCTAGATGCTTCCACGGAGCACAAGTATTTGATAACAAGGTATTTGTATTTGGAGGACGTAGCTCATATGAACGGAGCCTTGATAGCGTTATTTCATATGATTTTAAAGATGAAGTTACACAGCTGGCATCCCTCCCTTACCCCATGAGTGAGATGGCAACTGTACGTTGGGGTGATAATGTCATTCTTATTGGCGGTGCAGACCAAAATGGGAAGCCTTTATCCACTGTTGTTATTTACAATGTCATTACAGAGAGATGGTATATTTTACCACCAATGAATGAGAAGAGAAAAGCGTGTTCTGCAGTTGTTGTTCAGAATAAGATTTTCGTCATGGGAGGACGAACTCAGAACAATACTTGTCTTCGCTCTGTTGAATGTTTCAACTTCAACAGTTACTCATGGCAGAATATGCCAGCCATGATTACAGCAAGAGAACGAGGTGTGGCAGTTGCCTTCTAGTAACCATGCTTTGGATCTTAAAGTTTAAACTTTTGAATTTGACAAAAACAGTATTACACGCATCAAGTAGCTAGCTATATAGTGAAGACTCCTGTAAGGATGAGACAGAGCTATAAGCCTATAACAGGCTATAACAGGCTATATGGTATTGAACACTCTTTAGTATTTCGCAAACCATTATATTTATATATATATAGATCGGCAAGTAAACTGTAAAATTATATAAAATCCATAAAATGTTATAAAATGTAGTAATGAATCAACAAAATTGAATCGTGTATTTAAAATGCAGATGGCGGGAAATTTAGAACTGTTGCCTTGGCAACACCCGACCAATCAGAACTAGTTATTTGTTTGTTTCTATAATTACTATCAATTAGGAAAAGAAATTTCTGACTCTTGAAGTCGAAGAATGCATGACTGCTTATTGATAGGGATTGTATCACAATGCCGTCGATGAAACACACAAAAAAAGTTCGTCCTTCGACGGCTTCAGGTCTATTGCAATCTAAAGAAGTGAGTCATGTGGTTGATGAGTTACGTCCAACAACAGCACCGGTAAAAACAGAAGTTGGTTTTGATCCTACATTTCTCACATCACGCCATCACGTTCCTGGGACATTGACTTCATCCTCAGTTAGAGGGCGACAAGTACACGGTGGAATACCAGATCATGATTTAAAAGGAGTTCTTGGAAGAAGGGCAACGTTTTCTGAGCTAGATCATGACAAAATTAAACGTCCTTTGACAGCAGCTGGTCAGAAATTAACGCAAAAGGTATTTCATTATTTCTATTGCATTATAACATTGCATATTGTTTCCAAACATAGAATACTACTTCATAGTAATTTCAACTAAATTTTAAACATAATATTTTCCTGATATGTTATCACGACATTAAGATATCTTTGTTATGATTCTCGATCGTTATGGAATATATTTAATCCATGACAATTAGACAATACAATATATCCATAACATCCATGATTGTAGCAGATGTGGCAGTGAGTGCATGCAGCTGGAAATTAGAATAAACAAAGTATGTCACTATAAAATTTTTGCATGTTCGAAATGCAAATGGTGGTCATGCTAGCTGGGCTTGTTGATAGATTGTTAATTGTTGTTCATGAATACATACTACAAAGGTAGAGGGTGCATGGTTGCAGGGGCTGTTGGATATGTACTTGTTCCTCAATAAGTCTGCTAGTTTTCTGCTATTAAAAAATAGCCAGCACATAGAACATTTTCCAAATCAGTTTCAAACATATTAATCGATCGCAAGTGTCAATTAAATGAAATGGAATAATTGTAAATCGTGGTCTCCTAGACTGGGTCTACACTCTACATAGTTAGAGCATGGTGCCTTGTCAGTGTAATACTGCTATGATATTCAACCTGTTAATCTTCCATAGAAGAGAAAAATTTATATTAATATTTTAGAGTTCAATAATATATATAATACAATGACTCATTCAGTATGGTATTAAAATTACACCATTTTAGTTGGAAGACCAAATAACGCTTGAACAGTTGAATAAAATGAGGAAAGCATTTGAGGTGAATATTTATAATTTATGTGATTATTTGTGATTTGTGATTATTAGGGAGAAATACTATATATGTATGTGAGCTAGGTCTCATATGCACTGCAGATCTCGAGCTGAGGCCTAGCTGGCAAATGAGCCGTAGTACATATGAGTATAGCTAGCATAGAGTTTGACAAGCATGCAAGCTAGGGTATCAAAAACTACCAAATTGGATCAATGGCCAAAAGTGTGACATGTTATTCAGCCCTATTCCCAAATGTTTTCACATTTAATCTCTTTTCTTTGTCCACATTAGGAAGGCGATGTTGATAATAGCGGAACACTTGACCTTGAGGAATTTAAAGTTATATTCCAACAATTTCTTGGCTTAAAGGGAAAGGTATACTTGATATGGATGTAGAAACTGTGTGATATAATCATTACAGGTTGATTGGTTCATTGAAAATTTCGTCCATTTTTTCCAGAGCGAAGACCAGGTTACGGAATTATTTATGAAAATTGATTCTTCATCAGATGGTGAAATCAACTGGGTACAGTTAAATAATCAAACCTTGCAATAAAATTATCTTGCAGACCACGCCATGCCAGCTGGCAATCTACATAAACTAGTTAAAAAAATGCGGACTGTATGTGTCAGACAGCATGCATTTGTCATTTGAACATTCAGGCGATAGTATAAAAAATACAATGGCAACACAGCAATTCCCTATCATGAGGTATAAAAGTATGTATAAACCAAATAAAAACATAATAAACCACATATTTTTCAGGACGAATTTTGTACTTATATGCAGTTAGAGTATGCTGAGAAAGAGGAATCATATCTTCGATCTAAAGAGGTTAATTGAACTAATTTCAATAGATATTCGGAATGCCATTTCATTAACTTTGTCTTTGAGTATTAACTACTTTTTTTATGGCAGACGGCATTTCACATCCCGGCAACCACTGAGAACTCACCACATCGTGAGCAAGTACTGACAATATGTCACACTTCAGATAACACCTCACTGTGTGTTAGTCAGGTTAGGAGCAGATATGTATAATTTCTTGAAATTTTTGTAATGGTGATCATGGTAGTTCTTTGCTTTGATTTGTTTACAAAACATTATTTTCCCAGAAGATAATGGTTTTGTTATAGCTGTTCTTGCCATGATTAATAAAATAATTTTATAATTAAGTGACTTTTTCACTCCTCAGGATGGAATGGTGTCTTTTTGGTCACCTTCTCTAGATTTTAAAAGATCAAAACATGTAAGTCTTTTTATAAATCATACAATATTATTTTATGGTAACAGTATGAATTTTAAAATATAATTGTAAATTATAATGCTATATAAATGTTTTCTTGTATTGCTTTAGATCGAAACATCTTCTAAAAAAGCAAAGTGGATCACAGATTTCGTTTTAATGCCTCAATATAACAAACTCATCATTTCCACTGGGTAGGATCATATTTATACTCCTATCTGTCCCCACCATCCTTTGATTTTTGACGTGTTCATCTTAATTTTTTTATCCCTTCAGTGACCGGGAGATACAGTTTCACGAGTTGTCAACATTTGAGCCCTACTGTCAAATAAGTGGTTTAGAAACAACTCCACTAAAATTAGAATATTGGTGAGTTGTCAAATAACGATGAAATAAGACTTATCCTTAAAGAGAAATGAGCATAGTTCCGACAAAAAAAGTGAAAGTCAAAAGTGTAAGCATCATGGGTACCGCTTACGGTATGCAATGTGTTTTGTATATATTTTTAAGTGTATTACTCCATTTAGTTCGACTGGTCAGGATGAATGTGTCATTATGTATGGTGATAGTCAGGTAGGATTACAGAATGTTATCTTTTCTCTGGTAGCTCACGCCTTTGATTCTGAAAGGAAAAGAATGAAACATGCCGTCCAAATGAATGAACACTTTTTCCGTTACGCAAGACGCATGGAAAACACAGAGGCATACTTGTTGTGTGAAATAATATTCTGCTGATCTGCTCGATATCTCTGTGATAAAGATTTTTTATCATGATCCGAACCATGCAATGCCGTCACTTCATTGATGCATTTACATAAAGTTTCGTTACTCAAAGTTTCAAGGATTTCTTTCCTTGCAGGGCTGCATTAGTATATTTATTCTTTCATCAACCGGTGAATCATTAAGGTAACTCAGATATAAAATACTAGTTTGTAAAATTACGTTCCTCATTAATCAACCTGTAATTATGGAGTTTAAATTGTAATATATATCTGTTGAATTATTATAGAACGTGGAAAAAGATGCCAAAGGTGGATGGAATGGCGAATGTTAATGTTGATAGTGTCATTAGTTCTGAGAATATAAAATTTGTGAGGTGGGTTATATAGTATGTCTCGAGTCAATCTGCCAACCATGTACATACTGAAGCTTTTTAATCAACTAAAGTGGTTTTGCTACTACCGCGCTGTTTAATAACCCCACAATTTTATTGCTCGCTTTTATATCCAGCATAAACTACCTATAAAAGATAATCGGTTTGAAACAGTCGATCTGAATGCACAATAAAGTTATATGTAAATATTTGTTGCAGATGGAAAGTTCACGACGATTGGGTTTCCCAGGTACACGCATGGATTGAGTATATGGTTCTTGTTGCATTATGCATGAGCACGTTCTGTTGCAATTAAAGTATGCATGTACAGCATTGAGTAGTATATATTGTCATGTAATCCTGCCTACTAGCAAAGGTAGTTGTTTCTGTAGCTACAGGGTGGTAGACGCATAACGTTCACGGTCTTTTCTTTAGTTAAGGTACTATGAGTCACTTCGCGCTGTGATTTCCTGCTCTAATGATCCAAATACTGCTTTAGTTATTGGTGGGTATGCAATCATACACGTCACGTCTTTTATTTGAAACATTATAGCGAAATTGAAACACTCAATTGTGCATCTTTCACGCAGGCCAAACAATCGGAAGCACATACGTGGAGTCAGCTGTGCGAGATCAACCGGGACATGTTGGAGGACAGAAGAAAGTATTTCATGGCGCAGCAGGAAGAGATAATCAACCAAGACGACGTCAAGATGCTGATCAAACCGTCTTTAGAATCTATAAGGGAGTTAAGACGTTCGATTTTTCACGAGAAAAGAATGTCATTGTTACTGGTGGTAAGATAATTAATGTATACTCTAATTGGTAAAAACCTGTAAAAAATCGTATAAGGAAAAGATGAGAATATTTAAAATATCCAACATATCTAAATTGGTGGATGAATGTGCGTGTTCAAAGATTTAAACTCATGAAAAGTCTCTTTTACAGCCCTGCCCGACTTCAGTTTTTATTATTATACTCTGTTGATGATATCCTAATTTTTTGTAGGAATGGATCGTCTTATTCGCTTGTGGAATCCATATGTTCCAAGGTGAGTTTCATCTTCGAGTATAAAAAGGAAATGATAAGATATATCATATAAAATTTAACCGACTCTAGATAACCATAATATTTTCTTTCATTCCAGCAAACCAACAGGAATACTTCGCGGACATACAGCTCCCATTTGCTATCTGTATGTTTCAACTGAAGACAGTCGTATTTTCAGTGTATCTACGGACAAGACCGTTAAGGTATTATTCTATAAATAAACAGTGTTATTTCTATAGATATTTTTGCTCATAGTAGGTTTAGTTTAGCTTGATAAGACTGTAGTGAACTCATGCAGTGTGAATTTGAGTGTATGACAGCGTCTGGAAAATGAAAGTTTATGATCTTGTTTTAGGTGTGGGATCTTAACGATCAGAGTGTGTTGTACAGTGTTGGTGGAAAAGCTCATAAAATACGGGGAGATTTAGCAGGTCTGAATATAATTGTTGTTATTATTATTCCCTTTGACTTCGAACAACCAGCCCCAGGTGTGCGACATTCATAAAGTAGTGAAATTTGTTCATAATTGGTTTTATAATTTAGACTGTGTAAGATTGCTAATACAAATACTTAATTTGTTTCATAGCTGTTCATTATAATTTTTTCAATAAGACAGTTGCTATAGCAACTTCTGACCATGTTGGATTGCTAATGCTGAAGAGTAGGTATGTTACCTGTTAAATTTACGTCAGTTAACTGTTAAAATTACTATTTACCTAGATATAGCCAGTATATAGGCCTAATTCCAATGATTGACAAGCATTTTTAAAAAAGAATAACAATGCCTGAGAAAGAGTAAAAGCATTATTACTATTCTGCTTTTTTAATTAGACTAACGTCATCGGACTTGACCATGACACACAAAGAACCCGTTTACTGTGCAAAATTCAACAAAAGTTTTAAACATGTTGTGACTGCCTCTGAGGGATCGGTAAGCCATTACAAAATATTGTATGTTAATTTTGTACCGGATATACAAATCAGTAAAATATAGTATATACGAATTATTGTATATGTTGTAATCTTTTAGCTTTTCTTAACATGCATGCAATGTGATGGTACAGTATTTAACATGCATGCAATGTGATGGTACAGTATTTAACATGCATGCAATGTGATGGTACAGTATTTAACATGCATGCACTGTGATGGTGCAGTATTTAACATGCATGCACTGTGATGGTACAGTATTTAACATGCATGCAATGTGATGGTACAGTATTTAACATGCATGCACTGTGATGTACAGTATTTAACATGCATGCACTGTGATGGTGCAGTATTTAACATGCATGCACTGTGATGGTACAGTATTTAACATGCATGCACTGTGATGGTACAGTATTTAACATGCATGCACTGTGATGGTACAGTATTTAACATGTATGCACTGTGATGGTACTGTATTTAACATGCATGCACTGTGATGGTACTGTATTTAACATGCATGCACTGTGATGGTACTGTATTTAACATGCATGCACTGTGATGGTACTGTATTTAACATGCATGCACTGTGATGGTACTGTATTTAACATGCATGCACTGTGATGGTACAGTATTTAACATGCATGCACTGTGATGGTACAGTATTTAACATGCATGCACTGTGATGGTACAGTATTTAACATGCATGCACTGTGATGGTACTGTATTTAACATGCATGCACTGTGATGGTACTGTATTTAACATGCATGCACTGTGATGGTACAGTATTTAACATGCATGCACTGTGATGGTACTGTATTTAACATGTATGCACTGTGATGGTACTGTATTTAACATGCATGCACTGTGATGGTACTGTATTTAACATGCATGCACTGTGATGGTACTGTATTTAACATGCATGCACTGTGATGGTACTGTATTTAACATGCATGCACTGTGATGGTATAGTATTGAGCTGCTGTTCCTCGTTATAGGTGATTAAAGTATGGGACATTGGAACAGGCAACCAAGTGTTTGAATTTAGTGAAGCTCATGGAAGTAGCGGTGTCACGTGCTTAGCTTTTGATTCAAGTGAAAGAAGGTTAGAAAATATAAAATGTAATCACTAACACCATATAATTAGGTCATGAACAAAGTAGCCGCGAAGATACGTGAAATCCTAACGATCATTCAGAATATTGTTTTTTTAAAAACAATAATAATAAATTCTTACAAGAAGTTACAAAAAATCTAGATTCCCCCAGTCCTAAACTTTCAATATTTTCTATGCAGATTAATTACCGGAGGGAGGGATGGGCGGTTAAAAATTTGGAATTATAACAATGGCCATTGTTTGCGGACATTGGAAAAAGGTTAGTACTTTATGAACAATAATATAATCATGCAAAAGTGTTGCAAAATTAAATTTCAAACTCTGGTATGTTTCAGATGAAGATATTGATGAAGTAGCATCATTAACATATGTTGTAATGAATAGAAATAGGTAAAGTTTTATGACCCCGATGAACGTTCTTTTGAAGCAAATCAAGCAATGCTTCTTTATTAGACTTTTGTCGATTTATCACTTGCTCTAGATATATCATATCCGTAGGATGGGACAGAACAATAAACGTTTTTCTTGTAAGTCTTCATAATTATACTTTATTAGCCTAATTCAGGCATGCTTGTAGTGCATGATGAGCAATACTGAAAGAACTTTAAAAAATGTGTTCACAAGTATAGTCGCACTGGTGAAGAAGGTTAACGGACCGAAAGCTTTGCAACATTAAATACCTGCGTGGTGTACCTACTGTCTAATTTATTTATATCGGAACTTTGTTCTTATTTGCACATATAGGATGACACATCAGATTTTCATCATGTTCAACGACCATATATAAGATGGGACGATGACTTGGTGAGTTCAATTTAAAAACAGTCATGCAGCTTTCATATAGTTTCATATAATCTGCTGTCAGGGTGGTTATAAGATGATATTTACATATATTTATAACCGCCTGGATACTGCATGTATACAATATTTTTTCTATCATAGTTGAATTTCTGTATACAATATAGTCTTGCAAAGTAAGAATTTTAATAAAGGACTTTAATTCTAAGATGAATGTTTCTGCATGTCAGAAGCAGTCTCTTTCATTGAGTTTTATTGTTGAATGATAATAACATTGCACTCGCATTCTTTTCCTCTGTGTTATACTGTATGATATCTCCCATGCATGTACCAATGCGTTTATTATAATAGACCCAGTGTCTTCTCTTGTGTTTCCTCTTATAGTGATAATAATATAGCTACTTTCCCTGTTTTTTTTTTAATTTCGTAGACAAATGGACATCAAGAAGATATTTTATCTGTAGTGTCGTGTCCTCCTAATTTGCTAGCAACATCCAGTTTTGATGGCGAGGTTGATAGTCCAAGCTTATATTTAACTTTTAAATTTTTCAGAAATTTTAATATGATTTATTATTTTGTGAGCTTTACCACCCACAAAACTCAACACCAACTGTCTTGTAGGTTATAGTTTGGAATATGGTTTCAGGGCATATATTTTGCCATATCCGTTCTCCGTTTCAAATGGATAAACCTCAAGGTAATAACATTTTAGGGTTTAAAGTGCTCGTCACAATTACCAATTAATATGTTTTTTTTTATGAGAAAAAAACACTATTGAATGCATGAGGATTAAATATCAGACGACTTTATAAGTTGTCGTTCTTTTCAGGTAGTGGAGCGAATGCTGTCAGTTCATTGGTGTTCCTAAGGTGCAGAGCTGGGAATAAGTCGTCAGCAATACTTGTTACCAGTGGACCTCAAGGTGAGCTTAATTAACATCAAGGACAAACGCAAATAAAACCATCTGTCCGGAATCTGTTAAATATGAATCATTTTGTTGCCTTATTATGTTGAATCATTTTGTTGCCAGGAATAGTTCACTTCTGGAATGTTTACAATGGAGGGTCACTTTACGGCACGATATCACCGGTAATTCTTTCCTAAGTACACTTCGAATTATACTATGAAGGGCGTCTACATAGTCTTTTCTTCATTCTGTCGTTCCAGACAAATTTTGAAGTCACTGCGATGGTTACCGATAAAGCTAACACGATATTAGTCACGTCTGACCATGGAGGTAAGCATATTGCACATTGTGAAAGGACTGTAGTCAATATCGCTCATGTAACTGCAGTGGTCTATACCACAACTTTCGTGTTCTTATTGCAGGATTTGTGACTGTTTGGGACATAGAAAATTATTGTTTGTATGAAAAATCTGACGATTCTCCTAAACGTAAGTGTCAGCGCATATTTCATAATTCATCATAACGTGTTTGATATATATTGTAGAAATAACTTTTTTTTAATTAAGGAACACAATCTTGGAGGGCCCATGTCCAAGAAATCACGAGGTATTTAATAGAGTTATCAAGGTTAAGTGTCGTATGAAATTGTGTCAGCTAGTAGCAATACTTAATGATGTTTAAAAGTGATGAAAAGTTTGTTGATTCACTTCACTAAATTTTTTTACAGTTTGGATATTTCAGAAGAGTACAATGTTTTACTGACGTCATCAGTGGATTGCACGGTTCGAATGTGGACGTTAAATGGACATTTTATTGGTAGGAAATTAAAACTATTTGTTCCATCTACAAAATTCCTTTAACAAGAATATAATCGTGTGATTGTTTTGCGAAGGAACGTTTGGTCAGCCTAAAATGTGGGATATTCATCAAGAAATATCATATCAACACCCCATGGTACCCTATGATGTTCTTGTGGATCCTAAAAGTATTCCTAAACTTCCCATATTTGAAAGTGATGAAGAGTCCATCGATATCATTGAGGATAATGAAGATCTTGATGGTGAACATGAAATGGAAACTGTAGGCATTGGAAGAGAGGTAAGATTTTGTTGTATGAACTATGAAGATCGATTAAAATTCCTCTAAATTTTGCGCTACACGCGTCCTGCTTGCCGTGATTACCAATAAGTTCGTTTCAATATCGAACAAAACGCTTCATGTGTATAATGCTAATAATGACGTAAATCATTACTCATACTGAATCTTTGATTTGTTTCCAAGCATGAATTATAATATTTTATGATATTCTCAAATCTCAGGCGAACATGCAGGGGCGAGGTTCTATGAACAGTGATTATCCAGCTCAGAGGTATGATGGTATATACTATGATCAAATTTCTTATTCTTGCCGGTAAATCCTTAAACAGTTTTTCATATAAATTCGCAGTCCTGATGATCACGAAATCGCTAAGGAATTAAAAGATAGAGTTTGGAAGAGTGGAATGGGAAAAAGGTTGGTTTGGTAGTAATTTTGTAGGAGTGCTTTAGAATCTCAGAGAGGTTCTCTGACCTTGGAATGTATCTTATTAGGTTCTATTCGCTGATGAGGTTCTGAGTTTCGATTGAAAAAACAACCAGAAATGCCTATCTTATTGACGTTACAATGCATGGGAAACTTCATCTTACTAATGACTCTATAATTCTCAAAACCTTTTATTTTCAACAGACTTCGTCACGAAAGATTACGAAGAAAGCCTCAAGCTTCAGACGGTCCAAATGCTTACCAATCGCTTACCTGTTATGACCTGGAAGTAACCCCTCCTATCCCCCCACCACCCGATACATCCTTTATTAACGATCCTTTTGATATCAAATTTTAAATCAAAATGTACCAGCAAATATGAATCAAAAAGAGATAACAATTAGTAGTGTACAAAAAACAATAGATTATTTATTATAATTACACAGCCAGGGCATTAAACATCTTTTACACTAAGTCTCGCTTCCCCTATATTTTAGATATATAACCCTTATTTATACAGCAGATGGATCTCATCTGCAAGTAATCTTACAATGGGTTGAACTACATACTTATTGTACGTTTATTTTGCATTGCAATGTTAGTCATTTTGCTATAGGCAATGATTAGTACGCACCATGTTACTCTCCGCTGTTTGCGTGTTTTTTTTTTATTTTGCTGGCGCTTTAGTTGATGACGATTATTTAACTTTTATCCTTAATTCTCTCCGACTTTGATCAAGGCAACAAAAAACCTATAGAGTAGGGCTTTTGTTGCGTTGGTGAAAGAGTGTAAAATATGAAATACCAATAAATGTCAACAAGAAAACAGCAAGTAATTTCTGTTTGGTAACAAGCAAAATAGTGAACCTACTGCACGGAAAAAATTATAAAAAATAGGAAAAAACCCCACGAGTGTTATGCATTCTGTAGAAATATGGACATATGGTAACTTACCATGCATACAGTAAAACTGGTAACGTTATTAATTTAATTGCTATAAATATAAAAATGTATATGTGTATGTATATAAAAAAATGTAAATTATAGATACATCGGCTATTTATTGTTCAATAGTCCAGTTGTAAAAGTTCATTGGAGGTTGGAGAGATAAGGGACTAAAAAAACTTTAGACCATGTAGTAACAATCCTAAAACTTTGACTGTCACTGTGCTCATGGTACTGAACTATATAATAACTCCTGGAGGACGTGCTCCTCTTATTTCAGTAACTTATTACCTCCGTTCCACAGCTCAAACCCTGGGTACGAAGTTGGAGGTGTTGGAAACATGAGAAACTAAAAACTACACACCATGTATGCAATAACAATCCTAAAACTGTGACTGTGCACAAGCTTATAAAATGTATGACGATTAATTTTTTCAAACAGCCCGATTTCATTCTTGTGTTTTAATAAATTCCAAATTTATGTTTGAGTCATTTCCAAGCGGCTTGGAATTTTGTCTCTTCATCTTCGTTCAAGGGCTCCTTACAGACCTTCATTTCTGGTCATCGGCTGAATGATGGTTTCGTAGTACCACAATTGGATGACGGCATATATCTTTAGAGACGTGCGAAAAGAGAGCCTAAAGTTCTTAAAAAAGCGTTATCATGATTATACGCAAACCATGGTAATTTACGAACCAGTGACGTCATGACGCGCACTTTCACAGCTGGCATAGTGTATGACTAGCTGTCAAAAGATTGCAGAATGTGTACTCAGAAGAAAAATTGAACTTTTTAAAGTTTTTCAATAGTTTTCTCTTTGATAGAGATACGGATATCAGCTTGTCGGTATAAAGAAATTACACTTTGCATGGTCTTTAGTTATAATATGCACCAAGAAAACCCTAATTTTTTTATCTAAAACAGACGAGGTAAAAATTTTGCTCACGTGCAACATATTGCAATTTTAAATAAATCCATAATACACAATTTTACGTACGATAAATTCTAGGTATAAATTAAATACAAAATTATAATAAAATTCTATTCCAATATTGGTATTTTTATATTCACAGTCTATTCAAATTAACATTACCTATCCCAATCCCTAATTATAAACACGTTTTCTTAAATTTAACGATTGCATTCAGTGTTGTAAAATGTTGAGGATAATCTTTTAGTGCACAATGACGTCATGAGAACGTTTTTCCTACCATAAAACGTATTTGAAAACGACGGGAAACAAAGTTTTATTAAATCTTGTCAGTAAGTTTAAGTCTTGGGTTCATATGACCCTCGTTTCCCTCGTTGATAAAACCTACTACAGTACTGCTCCAATTTCACGGCTGTGATGTTTGAACGACAAACTGTATAACGTAGATCAAATTCCTGTAGGCGGTCTATGGCAAAAATTGTACTTTCCCTATTTTGTACCTTGTGTTATTTTTCTATAGTGTGGTTTTGAGGTGTTATTGATGCATCTGCTTTTATGACATATAAACGTATTAATTAGCTAGACAAGTCCCAAATTATACTCTAGGAACCTGAACCACAACATTTCTTCTTTTCCTTTCCTGATTTTTCTTTGTCCTTCATAAGGTCCACATTCCTTTCAGATTCTCTTGATTGAAGACTTCCTGTTCTGCTTTCAGCACTTGTCTGCGGACTTAAATCTTTCGGCTTTAAAACAACAGGTTTCTCTTCGTATAATTTTTCAGCAAGAGATGTGAATATTGCCTCAATATTTTGTTTATCATCATCATCTTTGCTTGATACCTCATGAAACGCCATGCTATATTGTTCTGCAAATTCTTTAGCAACTTTGGATTGCACTCTTTTTGATGTTACTAAATCACTTTTATTTCCAATCAAAATTTTGACAACTTTGTCTGGAATGGTATAATGTTTATATTCCTCAACCCACAATGTTAAACTCTGAAATGATGGTTCACTAAAGAAGGAAAACCATTATTTTTGGATCTTGATCTTTAAACTGAATTTCTCAAAGCAATTAATCTATTAGACCATGTGTTAAAAAACAGAAGTTTACTATCTACATGTATATGCATTGAAACCTCGTGAGTAGAATAAATGAAGTGTCTGAAAAATTCAGATACAGTATATCTAGAACACTGACCTATACTCAGTATATTATAGGTTTATATGCATTGTTAATATCCCAGCAGTAATAATTAAACTATATAAACAATGAGATTGCTAATATCAGTATCTCACACATGTAATAGTCACCTTCCAGCCTCTCCACTCTATTATGAGGTGAAAGGTGTATTCTTTTTCATTTATGATTCCACACCGCAACTAATGTTGTAGTAAGTTGTGGCAAAATAACAGATTTCATGTGAAAATATACTTTCAATTAATGCCCCGCAGATTGTCAAAATCACAACTAGAAAGTGTTGGAAAGCAATATGCAAGCTAAAGCTATACAAACAGTTTTAAAGTTTTACATGTACAAAATATTATGGAATATTTGAGTGTGCAGCTTCCTTTATTAAATGATGGGTAAAGACAATGTGAATGAATGAAAAGAAAAACATAAGTTACGATAGCAACCTTCAAATGATACAAACCTTGTGATGTCATAAACAAATACAATGGCATCAACATTCCGGTAGTAATGAATCGTCATACTTTTTCGAAATCTTTCCTGACCAGCAGAATCCCACACTTGAAGCTAGAAGACAATTTAAGGAGTTTATTAGCGAGTGAAAATATGCTGGATACATTGGGTTCTGAATATCACCTATTTGAACCATCCTAATCGACCTACATAGTATAGCTTCACAGTTGGAAGAGTATTGGACTGGCAAACAAGAGGTTGAGGGTTTAATTCTCACCAGAGTTAAGCTCATGTTTCAGCTTGCCTATAGTTATTAACTCAGGGAAGCACCATCATTGACTTATCCACTGTTTAAGCTAAATGGGCTTGATACAACCAGCCCCTGAGTCCTTATGCACTACCATTTTGAAGACAATTAATCACCATGGTTATTTGCCATCATCATCATTGCCAAAGTGTGTTTACCTTGCAGATAATTGAGTTGAAAGCTAAGCCTTGTAGTATAAACATGGCTTATTGCGTGTAAATTAAGCAAACTGATTTGCTTCATAGACCAGGCTTATATGAGTTCTAACATGCTAAACATTTATCAGTGTTGTAAGTTGTATAACCAGGTGTAATATTACGTTTTCAGTGAAATGAATAAAAATTTTTGACTAATTTTGATTAATATTGCACAGTCAATCCAATAATGTAACCTAACCTCGATAAAATGAATCAGAATTATATGAACGTCAAGAGTATCATGGATTATCTTGATGGCTAATTACTGTCGTAATCTAGCTTCATCTTAATGCTTTAATGATCACAAATATATTCAACAACATTTCTAGCACGAAACTATTCTCATTTACCTTGACTTGTTCGCCTTTAACGTCGATAGTTTTATCAAAGAAATCAACACCAATCGTTGTTTCAAGTTTTTCGTAGAACTTGCCAGTACATAATCGACAAGCAAGACTAGTCTTGCCAGTAAAGCTGTCTCCTATAATAACGATCTTGAATGTCTGAAGTTGTGTGTTATTCATCGTGGCACTAGATCATAAAAACTAGTCTACCTATCTAACTCAAGAAATTGAAACACTACTAACGAGGATTGAAGAATCATCGTGAACTTTCCAGGACAATCCTGGTAAGAAAACAGTAAACAATCCTCTTCCTTTTATGAATCCTTTTATTCTGACTCGTTGAAATTCTTCCACTGACACTTCGAATGCAGGCTCATAAAAATGTTGGAACGGAATGGAACCAGTAACCAGTGAGCTCTACATGGTCACTTTCACTGGTTGGAACTTGGCTGGTGTGGGTCTGGGTGTATCTAATAAAAAATGGTAACCTAACTTCAATGTGCTATTGTGCGTAAATTACTTGAGCAACAAGTGCAATTTTTTACAGTTTGATAGATCAGGTTTTTCGTTGTTGATCATTTTTCAATATATTTTACTGAGGGACATGTCGCAGTGCTCGGAAGCTTTCGCCCAATTGGATAACGCTTTTCTATGCTTTCTAAAGAACAAAGCTATGCTATTGGTTGAAACAGAAATGAATTGTAAAGTTCAGACAATGAAAATCATTCTGGCGAGGAGCTGCGACACTACCCTATTTTAATAGTAATATGTAAAGAAAAGGTAAGGAAATGTAAGCTCGATCAAAAATCGTGGTGAAAATTTCACCTGATCCTGTAAAGACGCTATAGAAATTGAACATCATTACCACCCACGCCTGTTGTGACATATGCATTGTGATTGACCACGCACCGTTTAGAAACAAGAATCACCCTCGACGTATTCACGATTAATGGCTTTTTCTTTTGTTTGAGGTGAAAATGAAATATGTTGATTTTCACCAAGATTTTTCAACGATCCTGTATGAACTCATTTTTTCTCTACCGTGTCCGTGTGTCCCAAAAAAGTACCCTCAGGCCTCAACTGAAACAATTCTTTTGTTGTTAAGGGTATTTTTTTCGGGGAACACACTGTATTTTGGTACGAAAGGTCAAAACTGAATGAGAAAACATTAAGACTAAAGATGGCCTCCAACAGGCAATAGCTCCTTTAAGCCCCGCACAGACGAGCAAGTTTTCCTTGACAAGTTTTTTGACACGTTCACTTGCTCGTGTGTACGACGAACAAGTTTTCCTTGACAAGTTTTCCTTGACAAGTTTTATTTGTTCGTGTGTACGTAAAAAAATTTTTCTTGGCAAGTTTTACGAGTCCGCATTACTGAAGTACGTAAATATATTGATGAATATATTGATGCGCAGTAGCCTACTGCGCATTTCCTTGTCAAGTTTTCCTTGACGGCCGTACACACGAACATTTTTCCTTGTTGAAAAGCTGGCATGACTAGCTTTTGAACAAGGCTCCTTGTCAAGGAAAATTGTCAATTTTCGTGCGTACACACGGGCAAATAAAACTTGTCAAGGAAAACTTGTCAAGGAAAACTTGCTCGTCTGTGCGGGGCTTTAATTTCTGCTAGTTGGCTTCACTTTTCTAAACCACAAAGTTTCTAAAATTTCTTAAACAGCTGTGCTCTTGTGGTGTGGTTTTAAAATATCTTTGCAGTGGGATAAATCAATGCAAACAAGTATTTTATGCACCACTCAAGTTTTTTCATGAACTATTGTGATCATAACTGCTATTAAGCTCCAGATTAAGCAGAAGCCCTGATTAAGACAAATACAGACCAAGGATTTAGCAAACTGCTAAAAATAATATAACTATAGGATGGTCTGAATATTAGCACTGATTCTGATTGCTTTTAATACTCGGAATTACTGCAAACTGGACGAGATTAAACTGAATCAAATTGATTCAAGCGAAAAATTCGTTATTTGAAAACTGGCTTTATATTTAATTGCATTATGTCAATCGTGTTTATACAATTAGCTAGTGATGATAACTAGTAGACTGCATTATATTTGATTTCAATCGTCCCAATATAAAAATGCATTCCTTGCTGAAAATCCTAATTTCAGTTCTCGGCTGGTAGACGCACCGTTTCCATTCTGACTTACGTAAGTCGTATTTATATTAAGACAAGATTTCTAAGCCAATAAAGTTATGGGAATATACCTCGATGCGTGAACTACTTACATGCACAGACTATATTGAGGAACCGCCGACGACGTCATGTTAATTAATCGATAGTGTTCTTTGGGTCAAGTGAAATAGGAGCAAATTTAATATAGTTACGCAATTGGTTTAATATCCTCATAGTAGGAACGTGCATTCTGTAATTATAATACACATTGTGGATGCTGGAAAGATGATTTTATGTGAAATATCGGCTGGTGCGTTGAGCTGTCTTAAATAATTATGTGGCACTTATTACCTTATTATCTTGCTAATCCTTGAGCTACCCTTTCCCTTATCATGTAAAACCTCTCCTGCATATCATTACATATTTAAATGACGAACAACACCGTTTCTATGCTATATTGTTTGTTAATGATTTCGGAACGATTTATTTGGCTAGTAGCAATACACGTAACGGAAGAGTAGCATTATACAAGATACATGGAATGACTTCAGTTTTTATGCAAAGACGGTCCACTTATATTAGAAGAAGCCTTGGTTGGAATGTTGTGACAGCGTGTTTTGATAATAAATGTTTTTAACAAGTGATAATGGCATCAGAAAATCAAGCCTCTCCGTCAAAACCTCGTTCAATGCTGCCCCGAACCTTGGTGGTCATCCTGAGTCCCATATCCGATGTTCCCACAACAAACCTTCGTCGCTTTAGCAGCAAGAAGTTTGAAAAGGTGTTTGAAGATTTCAAGCAGTGTAATAAACAGAGTATCAGTGTACAATTACAAGATGCTGTTGACGATATACAATTTGTTGGTTGTCTTTCTCCTTTCACATTGTTAATTCATGGATCAACGGAAGATATGGATACAATAGAACATGCCTGGGTCGGAAGGATGTTAAAACCGCCCTCTGGCTTCCTTATCAAAGATTTTGGTAAGTCAGCGTATTTTACTTCATTTCTAACATAAAAACAGAAATAGAAAAAATTTGAGAGCATGGCTAGACTAATCCCTGTTAGTAAATACTGTCAAACGCCGATTTAAAGTGCATCAGGTTTGATAAACGGAAAAGGGGTAAGAATAAGATTAGCGATGACATGCATCTATTTTGATCATAAATATTTTAAAAACAGTAAACAGGCAAACGAGAAGGTGCACATGCACTAGCTCACCTCGTATTTGTGCATCACTTACATCAACACAATTTTTCACTGTATGTCAACATATAGTGTATTATATTACTAAACTATAAACAGTGTTTTCAACTGGTCGTGCTCAGGTAGTATTCATAAAAAGACTTATTTTGTGATCAAGTGGGACGTTGCCAGTTGTTGCCGTTAGGCACAGGCTTAAATGATTAAATGTAGCATAGAAATTCGAATCTAGGCTCATCTAGCGACCAGCTTAGGCAGTTTGCATGTTTTACATTCAAAGCAAGCCAGGTGCATAATTCGCAAATATTGATGTGCAAATTTTCTCTTCTGATTATAATTTTGTAATTATTCGTGTATAAATTGTGATTTATGTTTTCACAATTAATTTTTCTGTCGACGGAAATCAAAACCTGCATAGTTTGGTAGAAAAAACCGCGCAACCATACATGACATGTATACTGTATATCGAAATGACTATACATCTTTATAGCACATTGCATAGTACCCAGTGACGGACATTATGTCAGGCAAGTTTCAAACTCATGTCACGAAATCATGTAACTGGGAGAGGGCTGCATACACATACATACGAAATAGAAGATTTAAGGTTTTTCTTCATGGTTATAGGTATAGTCTCTTGACCTCGCTCTTGACCAGGTAACTCTTATACAAACTACTCGAGTGAACTATATACACATTTTTCTCATGGAATCGCAATGGTAGCCATCATCTGACCATGATATACATTGCTCATGTTAGCTGTACGTCGATCACTTAATTGGTCCAGTTTTATTCCGTCCTAAACTGAGGCATCATTAGCCATCTATTAAATACATTTAATCTTTACTACGTCCGTTTACGTCAAACGACTTTGTAAGTCGAATTGCAACTAGATACACACAGAGGAGGTATAATGACTAGAACACGCAGAGGTATAATGACTAAAGTATAAATAAACCTCCCCCTCGGGGGTTTACGTACAAGGATCGTACACTTATAAGTTATAACTTACAGAAGCAGGTGAGCAGGCGGTATAAGCATGTATAGTTTCCCTTATATACGGAGAAGCCGTTCAAAGCCGTTCCGTGCAGGATTAATTTCTTCAAAGAAAAGTCAACCAGCAACTGAGCTACACTATACGTATAGCCTATGATTACATTGGATTTAAATCTTGTGATTAGCAAAGAATATGAATATAGACTATAGTTAACGAAATTACATTCAGCTCTACTTTCATTGCTTAAAGTCATATAATGTTGTATAGTTAAAGTATAGAACATCGACGTCGACGTATAGAACCAATAGTTTTCCAGCTACCAGGTCCACACATAGCATTAACCACTGTTTTCATCAACTTGATGCTCCTGGGCTGGTGTTCAAAGTTGAACATCATTCCACCTCCATACTTCTCACGAATCACCTCTGATGCCTGTGAGGAAGTATACTGCCACTTCTTTGAAAATTGGTCTTCAGCAGAAAAACCGATACACAACTGCGATTTACTCATTCCTTTGCCAGTGTAGAAATGTAGTCGAGAATTGATATCGCCGTCGTAATAAGTCATTTCCCAACCGTAATCCAGATTTAGACCCAGATGATGGCCATTCCAATCGGTGTTGAAGTAAACATGATCATCATACAACGCTTTTGTGATCAGTTTGTTAGGCATGGCTTGTTTCATTAGGGTTGTAACCATGGCCAACGAATCATTATGAATGGTGCCGATGCTATATTCGTCATCAATATCAATTCCATCCAAACCATAGAGTGTGACAACTTCCGTTTTGAGATAATCCACGAAACTTTGGGCTGTAGATTGATCTGCGAATTGCGACCAACCTGTTTGAGTGTGACCAGCCATGATGGTCAGTAAAACAGTTATACCTTAAAAAACAGAATGTTTTGGAATGTTTCAATAGATCCTTTTTATATAATCACGGCACGACAACCATCATCAGTGTATGGACAGTGGAAAGCTTACCTTGGTTCTGAAGTTGTTTTATGTATCCTGAATCAAGTACCATCTGAATGTTCGAGTTGAACTGGGCTGTGGCGTGCGGATTGTTGTGGGCTCGGAGCATTGGACGAGTGTCGGTGACAAAATTACCAGCAAAGATACAAACCACATCAATCGCTGGGGACGGAGTCATCTTTGCTAGCACGTAATTTTTGATATCAAGAAATTGCTGATTGCTCAAGGGATTGATATAGATTGTAGCAATCGGCTTTTTCTCGTATATATCACATTGCAAAGAACTGGTAATAGCCGCCTGGCCTTTAAAGAATACTGCCATTCCTGTTTCAAAAGGACCGTGTTCGTTTGCAAGTGGTGTTTCTAGATTGACTGTATTTCGAACATAGAAAAAGAAAGTTATCTCTTCCTTCGGGTGCGCGAAAACGAAACGCATTGCATCTTCAGGAGTTGTGTTGGGAATTTTTCTCACAAAATTGCTCCAATCACCTGACGTTTGAATCATGTTTTCAATCTTCTTCCATCCCATGTTTATAGATCAGTATAGCGTACTTGTTACCAGCAACCACGTCGACGCGCTTTAAAAAATATTGACCGAGGTCAACGATAGAATGCATCTATGAAAAAAATTCTAATATATCACGAGTGATCCTCGTATATAATGCATGATTGGGCGCCGCCGCGCCGGATATAGGATTTTATTCCTCACAATATTCAAAGGTACTTAATATTTCGAGGTGAACCGACCAAGTATTTGTCGCCTTGTGCAGCACGTTCTGCTTTTTGCATCCGAATAAATCAGCTTCTTAAATTATCTGATTTTAATAAATTAGTAGACCAATATCAATAAAGAAGAGAAATTCTTCGTTTGTTTGAAATTAATTCGACGCGCGGGTTGCTTACCATATTATTGGCATATATTTTCATACAGACTTCTACAGTGCATGCATGCAGTAGGATTATTGACCAAAACTACACGTTTTTTATCTGCGATCGTAAGGTTCTTTTACCCATACAATTGACACAAATATAATAATCACGCTAGAATAGCTATACGTATAATGACTTCCTTCTTAGTCTAAATGACCGGATATATATATCGATTGTAAACACGCAGTCTATATCGTCTGTTTATTAGCATTCATCCCAGTTTTATAAATATAGCTTGGGTTATATCATGTTTAAAGTTATGTAAGATATCCTAAATAGCAGCAACAATCTCGAAGATTATAAACAGATGATTCGTCAAATAAAATAGTTTAATTACAAGTTGCACTGTGACTGTCGTAGAGAAAACAAATATCTATGTCTATGAGTTTCGATGACGCAAAATGTTGGGCTCTTGCAACTGTAGCCCGCTGTCTTGGGTTACACGAGTCTCTATTCCTTATTCCTATTCTTATATTAAAAATCCTTAATTGGAACTCTAAAACCCCTCTGGAATCGTAGGCGGTAATGTAAGCCGCAGTACTGCATTTTCATTTTATGTTTGTTCGCTTTTTATACTGATTTACGAATAACAGCATTTTTAATTTGCCACCCAGCATATCAAAAGAAAAAAATAGTACGAAGTATTTCTTTCAAGAGCTCAGTAACAACATAGAATGTTGGTTAACATTCTAGAAGGTCATTATAACAATCAAATACTTTCCGGCCAGTTAAATAAATGAAAATACACACATGAAAATATTTACTCTGCCTTTAATATAGTCTTACATTGTCATTGACATCCTATTTTTATAGGTGAAATCTCAGAGGTGAAGATGAAGCAGATATTGCAGTCGCAATTTTTATCTATTTCTGATACATTATGCGAGATAGTGAAAGGACTCAACGAATGTCAAATCGCTTCTAACTTTGAATGCATTGTAAGCAGATTGTGCAGTAGTTTTGATAGCGTTGTTATACCGCCAATGACAGCCATAAAGAAAAGTTTGGATCTTTTAGTCGAAGAGCAAAGACTTACCTTTATTAATGGTTTGTATAATTACGTCGTCCCTTTAAAGCTTAGAAAAGAGTTGTCAACTCTTAAACCACTTCCTCAGGATAAAGAGCCACAGGCCCCCCCAAAAGTGCTTATTCTTCAAAGAAGAGAGCGACGGAAGAGAAACGTTACATCTCATCAAGAGAATATTCATCGAAAAGACAGAATTTAAGAAATCAAAACGGGAAGGAAAAGGAGAGAGCATTGAAAACGAAAAAAATGAATTATGCAGGAAAGTGTACTGGAAAAAGAGAAGCAAGATTAGATAACAATCGAAGTTTTTCAGGAAAAACTACTAGGAATGGTAGAAGGAATGAAGTTGTAAAGTCAAATAGTTTAAAAATTCGCAGACCAAATCACTGCATACCTCGTAGACAGTATTCCTACGAGGAGTTACCTTCACATGCAGTACAGGATGAAACGGAAGTAAAAAAGCCAAATAAGAAACGTAATTCTTTTATTGGTAAACTTTCCCGCCTGTTTAAGACGGAGGATGGGAAACTAACAAGCAATGATGAAACAGAAGATAATTTTGACCATAATATTAGTCATAAAGAATGGGATAAAATTACGACTAATGAACAAGCGAAATTGCTTTCCAGCAAAATTGAAATGAAGCAGCAAAATGCATTTGTAAAAGAGAGCAAGAATGGAGTGAAAGTGAAAAGAAAAAAGGAGAGAGGTATTAGTAGTGGCAAACCTTTGGACAAGAAAAGATATTCCGAGAGTTCGGCGAAACTAACGGCGAAACACAAGAATACCAATGTCAATGAAGACGAAAGCCGTCTCCAAGGATGCAGTAGGAAATGTTCCTCACGATCAAGTAAAACGTCTAACAACGCCAGCTCACAATCGCGCTCTCCTGATTGGTTAAACGCAAACTTTTCGCGCGATAATCAAAGTACCGTAGTCGTAGAGCAAAATACAAAATGCAAGCCTTCTCAGAGCAACGAGAACGAAGCGAGGAGGAAGAAAAAGCAACAAACGCCACCTAGGAAGGGTTCCTTATCATCTTTTTCAGACTCAAACTATTCTTTCGAAAGTGATTCAGACTATTCTTTGAGTTCAGATAGCAGCGTTGATTTGAAAAGAAAATCATTTCATTATTCTGAAGAAGACACGACGGATGACGAATCACACCTAGGAACCTGGGAGGACTGTTCCTCGAAATTCAGTTCAACTCGAGCAATTTGCGGGGACCTGGAAATGAATACTCTCTCAATAAACCAAAGCGATAAAACTTCATCTTCATCGGACTCAACAAAATGCGTTGAAAACCATTCAGTAACAACAGCATTGAACGGAAATAAAACTTCAGATCATAACATTTGCCCGCAACGAAATAACTTAAATGGCGGTAATCTTGTCCAATTCATTGGAATTTTGTGATTACATTGTGTTTCAATAAATATATTTATTACGAATAACTGTTGTACATGTCAGTTTGTTTTCAAAAATGACAATTACGTGTATACGCAACCCTACAGATGATAAGGTCGTTACTACGATATTTCTCACATCTCATGGACCGGGTCTCCGGAGAGTCTTGCATGTTTTTGCATGAGTAGGACTTTAGTTAATCCAGTTCATCTATTAAAAAGATGTGGCATACTTTAACAGTTACTTTGTCTTTGATAATTAAACTTGTATGAAATACACATGACTACGATTTTCAAATATATTTATATAATTCTCCAAATAATACAAATTACAATTATTTTTTTCTACATTTTTAAATTTTTTTGCAACACACTGATTACATATACATGCAGCAAGCATTACGATGATGAGACATCCTAAATACGCATTGTAATCCACGATTATTAAAAAGCTGGTGGATGTACACTAGCTGTAGGCTACTAGAACATCACCTATGTTCCGTATGTTGCACATATAACTTATACTTTAGTTATAACATATAACCTATGTTTGGTATGTTGCAGGTACAACTAGCATCAAATGTGGTATAACGACTGCCTAAAACAAAAACATTTTTTGACGTTTCAATCTAAGGGTCTTTGTCATGAGAGTTTGTGTAAGAACGTTCTATAAACTCTCCTAAGGAAGGCCTTAGGTCGAAACGTTAAAGAAGTGTTTTGCTTATTTTAAACCTCTGCAATCAGACTAGAATCCCCATTTTACCAGCACCATATAATTATGACACCAACATATTTTCTTCTATCCATCATCTGCTGCTACCAATATTAATATTTGTTTCAAACATTGCTTGAATATTATTTATTACATTAATACTAAAAATCTAGCACTGTACCCACTAACTTTTGAAATAATTTTGAAATAAAAAGTTCCATTAGCTCATCGGTTATGCTTTCTTTTCTGGGTGTTGAATGGCATCAAGGACTTTATTAATATCAAAATCTTTGGCCTTCAGTAGTTGAGTGAGCCATCCACCTTCATCATCAAAACCCATAGCTTTCATATAGGAAAGTGCATTCGCTAAGCGATCTTGAGGCTCAGGGTTTTCACCATCATGAGCTGTTTCATCATCCACAACAACGTAAGTATGGTCACCATCATGCGGTGAACCAGCTGCTTCATCCTAAGAACAAATGCATAAAGTGATTACGACTGAAAAGATTGTTAGCAGGAATCAATGTGTGATAGCATTTTTAAATAACTAGACTCCAATATTGTATTGTATAAGAATTTCCTGAAAGAGACAAAAAGCATCTTGAAAAAGGATTTTCGGGATCTAAGATAAGCTGAATATAACTATTTACCATTGGTTCATCACCATCCTTGTCTCTTGTTTTTGATGTTTCTCCTTGTCCAGTAGCTGGTGATTTGCCACCTTCATGTTGTCCACAACCACCTAAAATGAGGAAATAACCTTGTAATAGCCAGTTGAAATTGTTTAACTCCTATAGCACACTTTGGTTAACCAGTCCAAGACAAATAATTCACCAAAATAACAACAATCAGTTATGTAAGGCAGTTGACTTACCTTCACTGTTTTCAACATATGTGTGAACGTCAACACCAAATGGGCCAAGGAAAGAGTTGAGTGCCTCACCAAACTGATGGAAAAATGCTTGGCCTTCTCCAGATTGACCTGGTCTCTGCCCAGTGCCTGAATTTCCAGGGAATCTAGGGCAACCCAATCCACCACGACCTCCACGGGAAGGACTACCAGGTCTTGGTCCACATCCACCTCTTGGACCCATACCTCCTCTGGGACCCATACCTCCTTTGGGACCCATACCTCCTCTACCACGATGCATCCATGGCATGAACCATGGGGGACAAGGTGGAATGAAACAGGATGGGTCAGGATTGCGTATTCTTATCATGCGATGATGAGCATGAAGACCTTTACTTTCACAAGTACCACAGAGGTCATAATCTGGACAAACTGAACATTTGAATCTTGATCCAACAACTTTACCCTCACAGCCATCACAAGTAACCAGTGCATGAACCTGATCACCACTGCTCACATCTGGATCTGGCCTACTCTTTGACACCACTATAATATGATATAGACAAGATGAAATTTTAATTTTCATATTTAACAGACCCAGAAATTGTCATGACGTTACTATATTTAACAATAATTAGGATTTGGCATAGCCAACTGAAACTATAGAGTGCCTCAAATGCATTGGCCCGCCTTTCCTTCCAGCTTTAAATGATTGTACCAAATAGTCAGAACTTTGCAAATTATTAATTTTTTTACCTTTGATATAAACTCTGAAAAATCCCCCATCATGGTGTGTCAATGCGTCGATTAGTTCATCATCACTTGAGAACAAAACGTATTCATTTTCCTCGTCTGGAAAATATTAACAACTTTAAACACACTCCACACAACAAAACATAATAATCACGTAATTCGAAATATGATACTATTCGTAACTAACAATTGTCTAGTGCCTACCTTTCCAAAATAGTTGAAGGTCTTCTCTCTTCAAATTAGGATACACAGACTTTATCTTCTCGACTAAATAATCGTAGCTGGTCGATGCATCTGTATCGATAGAGAAACGACGAATCTCGGGGTCACTGCATTTACTAAACAACTACAGATACACGCAGAGGTATATTAATGACTAAAATCGGGAATAATAATCGGGAATGTAAACATTGTAGGAAAACCTATTATGAAAGCAAAATTGGTCAAATGAAGGACTCTACGCCCAGAGATTGGTGGAGAGAGGTCAAAAATCTTTGTGGTATTAATAAAAACACTCGTCGTGACCTAAGATCCCTTTTACTGTTTTACACCCTGATCTTGTGTGTGATGATCTTACTCTTACGAATAACATAAACAAAGCGTTTATCAGCGTAATGAATGATTACTCGCCTTTGACAGATTATACATGCGTGGATGCGGTTGATGATGAACCTTTGTATGTTACCGAAGAATCTGTGGCAAGGAAACTAAGAGCGATTAAGATATCTCGCGCCAGTGGACCTGATAACCTTCCAAATTGGGTGCTCAAAACGTTCTCGGACATTATCGCAAGTCCTATTACTGACATATTGAACACCTCATTTACCGAATGTAGAGTGCCTAATGCTTGGAAACTCGCAGATGTTTGTCCTCTGCCAAAGTCGTCTCTCATTTGTGATTTTAACAACGACATCAGTTGTCCATTGTTGATCCACGACAGTTTGGATTTATCCCAGGTTCATCGACAACTATGGCACTAATCGATATGTTTCATCATTGGTTATCTGCCACTGATGGGACATCGTCCACAATAAGAACTGTTCTCTTAGACTTTCGGAAAGCCTTTGACTTAGTAGACCATCATATATTGATCGCTAAACTATTCAGCATAGGAGTAAAGCCAACCATCGTTAATTGGATTATTGATTTCTTACGTCATCGGCAGCAGAGGGTTAAATATGATGGTACTTTTTCTAACTGGGTTGATGTCCATGCAGGAGTTCCCCAGGGTACTCGTCTTGGTCCATGGCTCTTTCTTATTCTAATTAATGATCTACGATTACCAGATCAGATCTCCCAAATGTGGAAGTTCGCTGACGATATCACATTATCCGAAGTGATAACCCAATCTAATGAAAGTTCCATTCAGGACGCTGTTGATTATGTTAACTTGTGGTCTAAAGAGAACCATCTACAACTCAAACCAACCAAATGTAAAGAAATCCAATCATGTTTTAAGAGAATCCCTCCATCTTTCGTTCCAATTGAGATAGATGGGATAAAATTTGATAAAGTTAGTGCTGCAAGACTTCTCGGTGTTACTATTCGTGACGATTTTAAGTGGATAGATCATGTTAAAACCATAACTGCTAAGGCCTCAAAGCGCCTATATCCCTTAAGACAACTTAAAAGAGCAGGACTCAGTGTTGATGATATGAAAGCCTTTTATTGTAGTGTTGTCCGATCAGTACTGGAATATTGCTGTCAATTGTTTCATAGAAATCTTCCCAATTACCTCTCGAATGATCTTGAACGCATTCAGAAGCGTGCATTGCGGATTATTTTCCCTCATCAAAGTTATGATGAAGCACTGAAAGAGGCATCTATTCCCACCCTCTTTGACAGGCGAGAAATGCTATCACAAAGTCTTTTTAAAGATATTGTTGTCAATGGAAACCATCAACTTGCTGGTTTACTTCCCCCTCGTAATAGCTGTAATGGTTTTCTGAGAAATAATAGAACTTTTAACACGCCACAATGCCGAACAGATCTTTTATAATGAGTTTTAGTACTGAAGCAAATTTTGCTAATTGATAACAAGTTGTATATATGTATTGTTTCCAATTTTAAATGATTGTATATATCTATTCTAAAGAACACATAATTGTGACTTTGACTAAAAAGGACTAAAAAGTTGTAAATATATATTGTTTCTTATTTCATTATGTATTTTAAATTATCGTATATATTTTTATGTAAAAGATACATAATTCAGTCTCATGACTGCCAGTGTCCTTTTTTCTGATAAATCTCTAAATCTCTCTCTAAAGTATAAATAAACCTCCCCCTCGGGGGTTTACCTACAAGGATCGTACACTTATAAGTTATACAAAGTGTCCCAAAAAAAACGCAACTCAGGTTTGCACCATAGTTCAGCTAAAATGACTTTTAGCATTGTAAATGAAGGATTAAGAGCCATTTTCAATTCCCAGAGGTGCTTATCTATTGTGCTTTAGAGCTGTATTAATGTTCTGCATATTTAAGTGGTTGCTTTTTTTTTGGGACACCCTGTACAGGGTGTATCAAAAAAACGCAACCACTTAATATTCTAAAATTCATATTGTTTATAAGCTCAATAGATTTCATGCCCCTGGGATTTTAAAATGGCTTCTAATCGTACAGTTCAACTGCTAATAGTCAAATCAGCTAAACTAATAATGGTGCAGCTAACAACCGAACAACGAGTTTTTATTGTCGTGCATGATAACTTGAATGCTAACTGTCGACCTTGTAAGATTAATTGTAAATAAAATTTTACTCGGTAATACTTTCAATTCAGCTCGTTGGTTTACGCACCCGACTTTGTTTACCAACGATTGTGCCGCTAGAATATGATTACAAGCTTTCTCGCATTCCAGGGGCCAAACGTCTTTTGTGTTGTAGAACAAAGAGGACATTCATGAATATTAAGTGGTTGCGTTTTTTTTGATACACCCTGTATATAACTTACAGAAGCTGGTGAGCAGGGGTATAAGCATGTATAGTTTCCCTTATATACGGAGAAGCCGTTCAAAGCCGTTCCGTGCAAGATTTCTTTAAAGAAAAGTCAACCAGCAACTGAGCTACACTATATAGCCTATGATTACATTGGATTTAAGTCTTGTGATTAGCAAAGAATATGAAGTGTATAGACTATAGTTAACCAAATTACATTCAGCTCTACTTTCATTGCTTAAAGTCATATCATGTTCTATATCTAGTCATTGTATAGAACATCGACGTCGTATAGAACCAATAGTTTTCCAGCTACCAGGTCCACACATAGCATTAACCACTGTTTTCATCAACTTGATGCTCCTGGGCTGGTGTTCAAAGTTGAACATCATTCCACCTCCATACTTCTCACGAATCACCTCTGATGCCTGTGAGGAAGTATACTGCCACTCCCATGAAAATCTGTCTTCAGCAGAAAAACCGATACACAACTGCGATTTACTCATTCTTTTGCCAGTGTAGAAATGTAGTCGAAAATTGATATCGCCGTCGTAATAAGTCATTTCCCAACCGTAATCCAGATTTAGACCCAGATGATGGCCATTCCAATCGGTGTTGAAGTAAACATGATCATCATACAACGCTTTTGTGATCAGTTTGTTAGGCATGGCTTGTTTCATTAGGGTTGTAACCATGGCCAACGAATCATTATGAATGGTGCCGATGCTATATTCGTCATCAATATCAATTCCATCCAAACCATAGAGTGTGACAACTTCCGTTTTGAGATAATCCACGAAACTTTGGGCTGTAGATTGATCTGCGAATTGCGACCAACCTGTTTGGCAACCATCCAGTATGGTCAGTAAAACAGTTATACCTTAAAAAACAGAATGTTTTGGAATGTTTCAATAGACCCTTTTTATATAATCACGGCACGAAAACCATCATCAGTGTATGGACAGCGGAAAGCTTACCTTGGTTCTGAAGTTGTTTTATGTATCCTGAATCAAGTACCATCTGAATGTTCGGGTTGAACTGGGCTGTGGCGTGCGGATTGCCCTTGGCTCGGAGCATGGGACGAGTGTAGGTGACAAAATTACCAGCAAAGATACAAACCGCGTCAATCGCTGGGGATGGAGTCGTCTTTGCTAGCACGTAATTTTTGATATCAAGAAATTGCTGATTGCTCAAAGGATTGATATAGATTGTAGCAATCGGCTTTTTCTCGTATATATCACATTGCAAAGAACTGGTAATAGCCGCCTGGCCTTTAAAGAATACTGCCATTCCTGTTTCAAAAGGACCGTGTTCGTTTGCAAGTGGTGTTTCAAAAGTGAATGTATTTCGAACATAGAAAAAGAAGGTAATCTCTTCCTTCGGGTGCGCGAAAACGAAACGCATTGCATCTTCAGGAGTTGTGTTGGGAATTTTTCTCACAAAATTGCTCCAATCACCCGGCGTTTGAATCTTGTCTTCAATCCTCTTCCATCCCATGTTTATAGATCAGTATAGCGTTCTTGTTACCAGCAACCACGTCGACGCGCTGTGAAAAATATGGTATAATGCATGATTGGGCGCCGGTTAGATATTTTTATTTTCTCTACGACAGTGCAACTTGTGAACTATTTTATTTGATGAATCACCCGTTTATGATCTTCGAGTTTGTTGCTGCTATATAGGATATCTTACATAACGTTAAACATGATATGTAGTGTCGCAGCTCCTCGCAAGAATGATTTTCATTGGCTGAACTTTACAATACATTTCTGTTTCAACCAATAGCATAGCTTCGTTCTTTAGACAGCATAGAAAAGCATAGAAAAGCAATGGACGAAAGCTTCCGAGCACTGCGACATGTCCCATGATATAACCCAAGCTACATATATTTATAAAACTGGGATGAATGCTAATAAACAGACGATATAGACTGTGTGTTTTCATTTAGACTAAGAAGGAAGTCATTACGTATAGCTATTCTAGCGTAATTATATGTGTCAATTGTGTGGGTAAAAGAACCTTACGATCGCAGATATAAAACTTGTAGTTTTGGTCAATAATCCTACTGCATGCATGCATTGTTGATGTCTGTATGAAAATATATACCAATAATATGGTAAGCAACCCGCGCGTCGAATTCATTTCAAACAAACGAAGAGTTTCTCTTCTTTATTGGTCTACTAATTTATTAAAATCAGATGATTTAAGCTGATTTATTCGGATGAAAAAAGCAAAATGTGCTGCACAAGGCGACAAATACTTGGTCGGTTTACTTCGAAATATTACCTACCATTGAATATTGTGAGGAATAAAATCCTAAGAGTTTCGATGACGCAAAATGTTGGGCTCTTGCAACTGTAGCCCGCTGTCTTGGGTTACACGAGTCTCTATTCCTATTCCTATATTAAAAATCCTTGGAACTCTAAAAATGCTCTGGAATCGTAGGCGATAATGTAAGCCGCAGTACTGCAATCTCATTTTATGTTTGTTCGCTTTTTACTGATTAACGAATAACGGCATTTTTAATTTGCCATCCAGCATATCGAAAGAAAAAAATAGTACGATGTATTACTTGCAACTTGCAAGAGCTCAATAACAACATAAACATAATAGGTTGGTTAACATTCTAGAAGGTCATTATAACAATCAAGTACTTTCCGGCCAGTTACTTGAAAGTACACACATGAAAATATTTACTCTGCCTCTAATATAGTCTTACATTGACATCCTATTTTTATAGGTGAAATCTCAGAGGTGAAGATGAAGCAGATATTGCAGTCGCAATTTTTATCTATTTCTGATACATTATGCGAGATAGTGAAAGGACTCAACGAATGTCAAATCGCTTCTACCTTTGAATGCATTGTAAGCAGATTGTGCAGTAGTTTCGACAGCGTTGTTATACCGCCAATGACAGCCATAAAGAAAAGTTTGGATCTTTTAGTCGAAGAGCAAAGACTTACCTTTATTAATGGTTTGTACAATTACGTCGTTCCTTTAAAGCTTAGAAAAGAGTTGCCAACTCTTAAACCACTTCCTCAGGATAAAGAGCCACAGGACCCCCCCACAAGTGCTTATTCTTCAAAGAAGAGAGCGACGGAAGAGAAACGTTACACCCCATCAAGAGAATATTCATCGAAAAGACAGAATTTAAGAAATCAAAACGGGAAGGAAAAGGAGAGAGCATTGAAAACAAAAAAAATGAATTATGCAGAAAAGTGTACAGGAAAAAGAGAAGCAAGATTAGATAACAATCGAAGTTTTTCAGGAAAAACTACTAGGAATGGTAGAAGGAATGAAGTTGTAAAGTCAAATAGTTTAAAAATTCGCAGACCAAATCACTGCATACCTCGTAGACAGTATTCCTACGAGGAGTTACCTTCACATGCAGTACAGGATGAAACGGAAGTAAAAAAGCCAAATAAGAAACGTAATTCTTTTATTGGTAAACTTTCCCGCCTGTTTAAGACAGAGGATGGGAAACTAACAAGCAATGATGAAACCGAAGATAATTTTGACCATAATATTAGTCATAAAGAATGGGATAAAATTACGACCAATGAACAAGCGAAATTGCTTTCCAGCAAAGTAGAAATGAAGCAACAAAATGCATTTGTAAAAGAGAGCAAGAATGGAGTGAAAGTCAAAAGAAAGAAGGAGAGAGATATTACTAGTGGCAAACCTTTGGACAAGAAAAGATATTCCGAGAGTTCGGCGAAACTAACGGCGAAACACAAGAATACCAATGTCAATGAAGACGAAAGCCGTCTCCAAGGATGCAGTAGGAAATGTTCCTCACGATCAAGTAAAACGTCTAACAACGCAAGCTCACAATCACGCTCTCCTGATTGGTTAAACGCAAACTTTTCGCGCGATAATCAAAGTACCGTAGTCGTAGAGCAAAATACAAAATGCAAGCCTTCTCAGAGCAACGAGCACGAAGCGAGGAGGACAAAAAAGCAACAAACGCCACCTAGGAAGGGTTCCATATCATCTTTTTCAGACTCAAACTATTCTTTCGAAAGTGATTCAGACTATTCTTTGAGTTCAGATAGCAGCGTTGATTTGAAAAGAAAATCATTTCATTATTCTGAAGAAGACACGACGGATGACGAATCACACCTAGGAACCTGGGAAGACTGCTCCTCGAAATTCAGTTCAACTCGAGCAATTTGCGGAGACCTGGAAATGAATACTCTCTCAATAAACCAAAGCGATAAATCTTCATCTTCATCGGACTCAACAAAATGCGTTGAAAAACATTCAGTAACAACAGCATTGAACGGAAATAAAACTTCAGACCATAATATTCGCCCGCAACAAAATAACTTAAATGGCGGTAATCTTGTCCAATTCATTGGAATTTTGTGATTACATTGTGTTTCAATAAATATATTTATTACGAATAACTGTTGTACATGTCAGTTTGTTTTCAAAAATGACAATTACGTGTATACGCAACCCTACGGCTACAGATGATAAGGTCATTACTACGATATTTCTCACATCTCATGGACGGGTCTCCGGAGATCTTGCATGTTTTTTGCATGAGTAGGACTTTAGTTAATCCAGTTCATCTATTAAAAAGATGTGGCATACCTTAACAGTTACTTTGTCTTTGACAATTAAGCTAGTATGAAATACACATGACTACGATTTTCAAATATATTTATATAATTCTCCAAATAATACAAATTATAATTATGTTTTTTTCTACATTTTTAAATTTTTTTGCAACACACTGATTACATATACATGCAGCAAGCATTACGATGATGAGATATCCTAAATACGCATTGTAATCCACGATTATTAAAAAGCTGGCGGATGTACACTAGTTGTAGGCTACTAGAACATCACCTATGTTCGGTATGTTGCAGGTACAACTAGCATTAAATGTGGTATAACGACTGCCTAAAACAAAAACTTTTTTGACGTTTCAATCTAAAGGTCTTTGTCATGAGAGTTTGTGTAAGAACGTTCTATAAACTCTCCTGAGGAAGGCCCTAGGTCGAAACGTTAAAGAAGTGTTTTGCTTATTTTAAACCTCTGCAATCAGACTAGAATTCCCATTTTACCAGCACCATATAATTATGGCACCAACATATTTTCTTCTATCCAACATCTGCTGCTACCAATATCAATATTTGTTTCAAACATTGCTTGAATATTATTTATTATACATTAATACTAAAAATCTAGCACTGTACCCACTAACTTTGGAAATAATTTTGAAATAAAAAGTTCCATCAGCTCATCAGTTATGCTTTCTTTTCTGGGTGTTGAATGGCATCAAGGACTTTATTGATATCAAAATCTTTGGCCTTCAGTAATTGAGTGAGCCATCCACCTTCATCGTCAAAACCCATACCTTTCATATAGGAAAGCGCATTTGCTAGGCGATCTTGGGGCTCAGGGTTTTCACCATCCTGAGCTTTTTCATCATCCACAACAACGTAAGTATGGTCACCATCATGCGGTGAACCAGCTGCTTCATCCTAAGAACAAATGCATAAGTTATTACAACTGGAAAGATTGTTAGCAGGAATCAATGTGTGATAGCATTTTTAATAACTAGACTCCAATATTGTATTGTTAAGAATTTCCTGAAAGAGACAAAAAGCATCTTGATGTTTCAAAGCTAGGGGCTTTTGAAACCTCAAGGATTTTTGGCATCTAAGATAAGCTGAATATAACTATTTACCATTGGTTCATCACCATCCTTGTCTCTTGTTTTTGATGTTTCTCCTTGTCCAGTAGCTGGTGATTTGCCACCTTCATGTTGTCCACAACCA